ATGGGAGAACTGTCCCTGTTACCCTGTCTTGTGGTAGCATGGGCAGGGCAGAGATGCCCCCTGAACCCATCAACACTTGAGGCAGGAAGAAAAGCTGTAGTCATAAGAACAGGAGAGCTGATGCCGGGCATTGATAGTGCAGGCCTTTAGTCCCAGCACTTGGGAGGCAAAAGCAGGCTGATCTCTGAGTTCGAGGCCAGCCTGCTCTACAGAGATAGTTCCAGGACAGGCTCCAAAGCAATACAGAGAAACCCTGCCTCAAAAAACAAAACAAAGAACAAACAAACAAACAAAAGAACAGAAAGACTGTCTCTGACCCCAACTATCCAACTAGCTGCAACACTTGGGAAAGCAGGCCTTACACCTTACCGGGCAGCTTAATAGAGTCAACCCTGTTAGTGGTGGTGTGGGTGAACTAGTCCCAAAGCTGTAATAATGAGAGAGCTATTCCCACTACTCATCTGTCATGAGGCAGTGTGGGTGGGGGAGAGATGATCCCCCCTTACTTTTCACCCATTACTCCCTCCTCCAAACAGATGAGAGAGCTGATCTTCCCCTTTACCAGCTGCAGCCCTCAGAATAATGGGCCCTTCTCCTAGGCAGCACAGCAGAGCTGGCCCTAATATTGGATGTGTGGGTGACCCAGCCTCGATGCTGTGAACAGGGTTAGGCTATGCCCATTGTTCATCTGACATGTGGCAGCATGGGTGAAGGAGAGATGCCCTCCACCCCTACTTCCATTGATGCTTGGGACAGGTAGAGGAGCTGGCCCTGGGGGTCATGGGAGTAGGAGGGCAGCCCCTGCCCCTCACCATATGAAGCACTTAGGAGAGTGGCCCCCCTGCCTTGCCTGGGCAATACAGTGGAGCTGGCCTTGACAGTGTAAGTGTGGAGAGCAGACCCTGAGGGAACAAAGGCAGGAGAATTAGCCCAGCCCCTTGCTGACAGGATTTGGCCAAGCATTCGGGCCACATAGGTACTGCCTTCATCAGTGTCTACCACAAAGAGAACTTCTTTACTATATGCTATCAGCTATGAAATTCTGCCTTGCCATGTTTGGAACCAGAAGCAATGGGGCCAAATGATTGTGGGCTAAGGCCTACGAAACCATGAGCCAAAATAAATCTTTTTTCCTGTTGAATGAATTATTTCTCTCAGCAATGTGACAACATTATTTTTCTCACAGCACTGAATCTTTGGGCCAATATAGAAGATGTAAATCAAACAGATCGAGTGGCATGTGAAGTTAATGCGTACACATTAGGTCTTGTCATATTTAAGTTGTGCTTTTTAATAGCCTCAAATAAAATACCTCTTCCCTCTAATGCCAACCCACACAAAAAAGAAAGTATACATGTAAACATCTTAGCATGAAAATCAAGACCAAGATGTAGGATATGTGCTGGGGTTCAGTAATTTGAAGCATGAATTTAGCATAAGTTCAAAGAGTTGATTCCAGTTGAACATGTCTCAGCCATATAAACAAGGCCAACTATTCAAAACGTTGCAGATCGCCTGCTGCTCTGTTCTGCTTTAATTTTGTGAGTGCACATTTTATTTTAAAGTTAAAGCTAAACTTTGATATTTTATGTGCAATTATTGACTAATCTTGGTTGGATTTAGAGTGTAGTTTATCATTTACATTTAAAAGAAAGACCAAAATCACAGCCTTTTAATTACCCCCAAATTATGGCCCTGTTAGTCTATTTGATGCTTTGTCTAAACTTTTATGGCTTCCTTCTCGATAAAGCTCAAGTTTGGATGTTTTGAAAAGTTGTAACATCATTTCTCATTATAATGCAAGTAAATATTTTACAAAAGCATGCATTTATGTGAGCCTTTATTGATATTTTAACTCTTTGGGTGAGAATCAGTCATGCTGCTCAGGCATGATCATTTTTACAATTTTGACACAAGATCCTCCCATTAGAGTACATATTGAATTGATTCGGAAGAGTTAATTGCAAAGATGTATTGACTAAAGTTATAGATTACATATTACTTTACCAAGAGTTGTTTCATTTCTTTCTTCTAAGGGGAAATGGCCAAGAAGAAAGCTTAACCATGTTTTGTAAAGCTCTTTACAAAATTGAAGTCCTCCTCTGTGTCCTATAATTTGGGGGACTTTACTAATTGTTCTATGCATTAGAGCAAATGGATGCAGAATTATTTATGTGGAACACCTTACCTTGGCACAACTTTTAGAATGATTTCTATCTAGACAGCTGCCTTTGAACTTCGGTAAGTAGTTGCCAACATGGCCTCTAGTTCATCAAGTTATTAAACAAGGGAGACTATATTAAAAGTCATTCTGGTTTGATAAAACTTCCAAAACTCCCATTAAATTAACATTTTTCTGAAGACTGTGTTTCATTCATTTTGATAGATTTTGATAGATTTAGCTTTGTGTTAGTCAGTTATCAATCAACACTGTACATGTACACTATAACCTTGACTTTCTGTACAATTGTCTCCTCAAGAAATGTAGTCTTAGTGGACCAATGAGACCAAAGCCCTGGTAAAATGTGCTCAAAGTGGGATCTTAGGCAAGTGTTCATTAGAGAAATTTTGTGGTAAAGACACAGCAAGACCTGGAAATGGCCTTGGTTTGTTTTCCTTTTGACAGAATAACGGTACAATTGCCCTACTGATACAAAGAGAAGAGGATTATCAAATATTGATGATAGAACAGAGAGAATGTCTTGTGGGATGGAATTTATGGAGCCCAGCACACAAGCAGAAATTATCGCCCATGGCCTTAAGCAGGCACTGGCCTGTCACTGGGACAAGTGTTCTGCCCCTGACTGTTAATGGCTTCCTCCTTCGGTGACTTTGCTTTTGATATTAAGGAAGTGATCAAGTGAGAAAAATAAAAGAGGCCACTCTGAGGGCCTGTTTAGACGAGACATGCCTGGCAAGCAAGAGTTACAACTCCAAAAACTATGCTGAACATATCTTTACCCCTGGACTTTTATGCCAGCTAAGAACAGTAGAAGATCATGTTCTTGAACTTGGATGATTATGTACATTCCAGAAAAGAGTGTGGATTCAGGGATATACAATGTGGCTTTGCAGCTGACAGCCTTTCTTTTTCTCAGTGAAAAGTAACATACTGCAGATTAAAACACACACACACACACACACACACACACACACACACACACACACGTACCTGTCATTGAAATAAAAATTCTCTCTGGGCATTTCAAAATACTTGATTTAATATGACACATAGTTAAATGAATCAGCCAGTCCTTTAGGCTATGTGCTGTCTTGCTTCACTGTGTTTTCTCTCTGTCCTTCCTGTGCTCTACTTACTAGTTTGGGGGACGGAAGTGCCTTCATTTGTTTTCCCATGGAATTTCAATGATTGACAGACTGTGTTTTAATGATAACAAAATAACATTGCTCTTAGTTACCAGGCTGCATCTGTTATGATGGGAACCTTAAAAGGTTCCCCACAAGCTCACGTGTGGAAAGTTTGTTTCCATACTATTGGGAGGCAATGGAGTGTTCCAGAGGTAGGACCCAGTTGGAGGAGGGAACTCATTGGGACATATAAAGGGTCTTGGGATTCTAGGCATCTTCCCTGACCTTAGCTGTCCTGTCCACGATGAGATAAGCAGCCTCCTCCACCAAGCCTTTCTGCCTTGCTATTCTGTCTTATCATAGGCCCCAAAAGAACCTGGCCAGATGATCATGGACTGAAATATATCTTTTAAGTAGATTTTTTTTTTTCAACTACGCTGTCAAGCACTGGAAAGCAGACCAACAAACTATTTTCTCTTGGTTTTCAAATAGAGGGAAAAACAAATGACTGTGTGTTTCTCAATAGGAAACAAATTACTGGAAAACAAATGAAATGTTTCATCATATCCAACAGAGATACATTGTGATAATTATAACAATATTCTCAGCTTCTTTCTACTCTCCTCTTCGTCCCCTCCTGCTATTCTGTGGCAGTTTAATTGTTAAGGGTGTTCCAAGGAAGCCTCAGCACAAAACACGAGCTCTGAAGTCAGTCAGCATTCCTTCCGCCCCATTTTCTCATCCCCACCACTAAGCTCATTTTCCCATTTCTTTTAAAGCCAACTTGTTGGTTGCTGTATGGCACTGGCGTGCGTGCTTGAGGCATACTGCATAAACAAAGTGAAAGCCAACATTTTTAATTGAGCACATGGGCCGCAAACTCTCATCAAACCAATCCCAAATTTTCCAAGTCAATTTAGATTTTTTTTAAAATGGAACCAGTGAGAAGATAGGAATTCTATCTGTCCTGCCTTCTGACTGCCATTGTGATTATTGGGCATCAAGGGCCACTAGCTTCTGTGAAACTGACACCTTTCATCTAGTCACATACATAAATTAAAATTTTTTATTTATTAATATATGCATGTGCGCACATGCTCATGCACACACACACACACACACACAAGCCACAACACATGTCTGAAGGATGATCTGCAATTGTTAGCTCTTTCCTTGTACCTGTGCCGCCTGGGGATGGAATACAGGCTGGCAGGCTGAGCCATCTCTTTGGCCTGCATATAGAAATTTTATCAGCGGTTTTCTCTATGGCTGTGGATTTAAAGGTTTATAGGTAAAATTTCCATGTAAGTAGACATCCTTAGATATGCATCTATGCTGGAGGCTCACTAGAGTTTCTCCATTTTCACACTTTTTTTGCTAGGGAGGGCAAGGCTAAATTTTAAGCCCTTTTACTTTCATAGAATAATCGGCTTCTCTTCTTCCTGCACAGTTTCCAATTACGTTCACTTTTCCCTATAAGACCCACAGAGCACAGTTAAGCACTCCATTCCCACTGATTTCATAGTGCATTTGGAGGAACTTTGTATGCATCAAGAGAGACGAAAGCGCATCATGCGTGACCAAGGCCAGGTTCTTGATGCATACTTATAATGTGCTAAATTATTTGGGGAATGCTACCATTTTATGTTCCCTCAAGAGTAAGGTGACACTGGGAAACATTTATTTTTCAAGGTAATAATTTAAATTTATTTTTTTAAAAAATGAATACAGCATTGTCTGATTGATTTTGTAAGAGCGAAGGCAACAGTCAATCATTTCTTTGACTCATTCATTCAATCCTTGAGCAAAACTTAAGCCAAGGTTACTTTGGTAGGATTTAAAGCAGTGAGACATATGTGAATAAAATGATATTAGGTCTATGTAATTCTGAATAATAAAATAAAGATTAAAATGGCAATATGTCTGGTATTTAAACTTTAAAAATCAATCAAGAGAGAAGATTAAGTGGTGTTTCTTTGGTGCTAAAAATGTAAAGCTAGGACCAAATTGTTCTATTTTCACAGATTTAAGATACAAGGAATGATATTTAAAGACATTAATGTGACTATTAAACCTTTCCGTTTGCAAAGACATTCCTGCGAAGTACACTTAGCGAAAATCCCTGAGGATATTAAATACTCTATTAGTATCTTCCTTCAAAAACAAAGAGGAATAATTTAAAAGCTTTGCGAGACATAAACACAGTACTTAGCACAAGCAGAACCCGTTTCCAAGGCTCCTTCTGCAGTCTGTAAAACAGGCCACCCCAGGCTCCACAGCACAGCAGAGACACAAGACGAAATTCCTTAGCTGTCCTTCTGCAAGCCAGCAAACCAGTTGCTTATAGTCTGCCTGTTTAGCTTTAGCCACTCAATATTGTTCTTCACTGTTTCCAGCACTTGCTGTCTGGATTGTGCTCCAGCTCCAGCATTTGGATATTTTGCAAAAAAGCTCTCCATCTAGAAAAGAGAAGGAAATAATTAGAAGAACTGTTTGAGGCTCACCTCTTCAGGAATTCCATTTGGAAACTGGCTTTGTTTCCTCCTGTGGGGAATTTGTTATGACCGCCATCTCCTGGTGTAGCATTCAGAATGGGCCTGGCAGGCATGTGAGCAATCACTCCTCTGGCCCCAGAGAGCCAGTTTAACAGCAATAGGCTGTGATAAGGAAGGAGGGCATCACACCATGGTCAGCACGTTCACGTCTGTGGATTTCTCTACTGTCTGTACATTTCCCCAAGTGTCCCTGTGGAATGATGGTTTTTCAACTCCAGAGGTCTGGAGAATTTCCCATACTTTCAGCTCATTTTCTAAAGGTTTGTAAGGAAAATCTCTCTTCAACATAGTTCTATACTCTCTGCTACCTTCTGTACTCCCCCCTAAAATTCAACCAGAGTATTATCTGCCATTTTCAAAACTAAGATTTTTTCTTTGTTCCTTTAACATGCAAGAATCTAAACACCTCAATAGCTAATACATTGACATAGAGACATCTCTCTTTGTCCTACATTAATGGACATACATTTTCCTTCACTGAGATTTCAGCGATTCAGGAGTCATTTCAAAATTCCCAAGCTATCAATTCAGAATGGACTCAGACCTCAACCAACTTATCCCAGAGACACCGATAGCTACCAGGATAGGAGAGACTTCTGTCAGCCAGTCCCAGCCTTCCTGAGCCTTTCATTTCTCAGGGTTTAAACCTCTTTGTCAGTTGAATCATTTTTCAGGTTAGTAAAAAAGCAGTGTATAATTGATTAGATAGATATAAGGGGTTTCTCTTTCTTCTTGCATCTGGGATTTGATTTAAGAAACTACCACATCTCTTTGGGAGGACAGCTTAAGCTTGTTCCTTTCTAGACAAGTCAAAAGTGGCCTGGCTCCCTACCTCCCAGAGCTGCAGCTCAGTGTTGAAGGGCTCAGCGATAGTGACGATCCGGCCAAGGTTCCTGTCAGTGATTGTGAATCTGCAGAAGAGTAGAAGGGAGTAAGAAAGGATATTAGTGTCATCTTTTTCCTACATGAAAAGGGTATACGTGTGGGTGTGGATGGGAAGTACTTTTCTAAAGAGGCTAAACAGAATAAGAAAATATGATGGCTCAGGTAATAAAGTGCCTTCTATGCAAGCTCGATGCTCTGAGTTCAACCCCAAAATCCCACTGCGCAAAGCAAAACACCAACTCTTGAGAGCTGTCCTTTGACCAGTACACACACACAACCAATAAAAACTAAAAAGTAAACATATAAAGTCCATATATGTAATCATATAAAGTCCATACTTCTTGCATAGAGATGTCATATCAATTCTCAGACATGGTAGGCTGCTTGTTGTGTGCCCCAAATACTTTCATTTCTCTTGGGTACAAGGGCACACAGATAATGACCGTACTTCTGAGCCTCCCTTAGAACTAGGTACAAATGTGCACTCTAACTCTTATCAACAAAACACAAACTAAGTAATAGGTCAAACTAGACCATAAAGGGAAATGGCTTGTCTGCATTTGTCTGTTCTTTGCTGCTGTAATGGAATACCCATGACTGCGTTACATGGAAAGACTGTAGCACTAGCCTATGCTTGGCTTCTGATAAGAGCCTTGCAGCTGTTTTAGCTCCTGGAGGAAAGCAGCGTAGAACCATTGCATATTGTGAGAACCCGTTGCTAAGTACTAAGAATCTGGTGCTAAGTGTTTCATAACAATCACTCTCTGGTTACCCTTGAATTAAAAAAAAAAAAAAATTTGAGTAGCCCAGGCTGGTCCTGAATTTTCCATATAGCTGAGGATAGCCTTGAAATTTTGACCCTTCCACTTCCTCTTTCTGGGTGAAGGGGTTACAGGCAAACATCACCTTCCCTGGTTTATGAGGTACTGAAGGAAGAAACCCCACAAAGTTATTATAAAATTTGACTGCTGAATTATTGGAGGAAGAATAAAGCAAAATATACACACATATAAATCAATAGGAGAAAATTTATACTCTAGAACTACAATATACCAAAAATCAATCATGGTGGAAGATAAAGTTTGCTTTAGCCTGTCTTTTAAAAATGTTATGGTATAAAGGAGAACTTGTAAACAAAATTGAAAGTAATTTGGGGCTGGGCAGTGGTGGTGCAAGTGTTTAATCCCAGCACCTGGGAGGCAGAAGCAAGTGGATCTCTGTGAGTTTGAGGCCAACTTGGTCTACAGAGTGAGTTCCAGAGCAGCCAGGAGTACACACAGAGAAACCCTGTCTCGAGAAACAAAAATAAAATGTAGCTTGGGAAAAGCAGTTGGAGTAGAAGTTTGTCTTCCATGTAAAGAACCACTGCAAAATGCTAAAAGGGAGCAACATGCAGAGACGGAATTAACAGAGGGATGAAAAAATAAAAACTCTGCACACTCAGCCAACACCCAGCCTCGCAGCAGAATTTCCAGCTACCACTCCTCAGCCCTGACTCCTCAGTCATTACCCAAAAGGTGATTCCTAGGCACTGTCTGCCTCACAGTCACTTCCGCCCACGGCCTCTGAATTACACTGTTTGTTTTCCACACCTTTTCTCTGTGCCCACCCTATACATCTCTGCCCGTCCAGTTTATTTGCTTCCAAGTAGGACACACATTTGCATCAATCTTTCTGCTAGTCTTTCTACTCCAAGCTGTGCCGCCATGCTGAGACATTCCCATGTCACCAATGCAGTACGTTATCTCCTTAGTTTCCTGAGTATATTTCCAGTGATGTTTACTATAAGCTCCCCTTTAGCCATCCAATTCCCATAATGCCTTAGGATCACTTTAAAGCTACGTCTGAATTACTCATTTGTGTGTTGTCTGATACAAAATATGCTTTTCAGTTTTTACCCTGACCATTCTTTTCTTTTTTGGAGGGGGGGGTCAATCAAATCAAGTGTTTATTGAGTGTCTGCTATGTGCTGAATATTGTTCAGAGTACTTGGGACACATCAGAGAGTAAAACAAGGAGCCCTGCCCTCGAGGAACGCACAGCCTATCATGCATTACCACTTCACCTGCCTACTGCTTGTGACCCTGGGCAAGTCACTGCACCTTTCTGCCCAATGGGGTAAAAGGAGGCTGGGCTCAGTAGACACTGAGCGGGTGTACTGCAGATGCGGACCAGGACACCACCCTAACCCACCACCAGAGGGCAGAGAGGGCTGGAGGTGGATTTTAAATAAAGAAGTACAATGAGAAGGGGGAGGAGAGCAGCTACACAAGTTGCTGCTACTGCTTGGAGGCGCCCTTGTTGGCCAGGTCCTTGGCCTTCTCTGTAGCTGCAGCGCCGTCTCCTTCGCTTTTTCTTTGGCTGTCTCAACGAGTGTTTTGGAAGGGGCCTCACCTTGTAGCTTGGGCAAGATGTACCCAAAGCCCTTCATTGTCTTGGTCACATTACCTTTGAACCGGGCAGGACCAAATCCCTGGACAGCTCTAGAGAAACCTAATAAGCTAGAAGAGACCCAGCCTTCCCGACGGATTTCGGTCCAGCCGCTGTTGTCAGAGTTCACGCAGTAAACACATCGTTCCTCCTCCACCATCAGCCAGGCGTGGTTGATGTTCCAGGTGAAGGTGGTCATGGTCTGATTCTGTGGGTCCACAAGCGAGTCCTCCAGGATGTACACTGAGTGGGCAACGTTATCAGGAAACTGTCGCTCTGCCCAAGGTGGCATCCTGTTGGTCTTGGTCAGGAGTCTCCGGGACAGAAGCTTCTGGTCACCTCCCCGTGCACGATGTCTTCAGTTAAGACATGTTTGCTATAGGGATTCGGATACCATTGCCAGAAGGCAGCAAACACTTGGTCCCAGGAATTTCGGAGCATGGCCTGGCCCAGGAAATACTTCACCATCGTCCTGACCCGGGTGGACTCAGCATCGGTGCAGCATCGGGATCAAGAGCCCTGGGGTGGGGTGCACATCCGCCAGGCTCACAGCTCACGCACTGTGTCCAGGTCCCTACCGCCGCCATGAGGGGTCTATAGGATCCACTCTGACCATTCCTAGTCCAGCCTGGATTTCTGCTCCGTTGACTCTCCAATGTCAGCTGCAACTGGACCATAAGACCTTCCTTTTATGCCCCACATACTTATTTATGTAGTTGAAATATGATAGCTTTATGTTCAATCACACTTTTAATTAACAACTATTGTCTAACAAAACTGCAGTTTGGGATGCAATCAGCTGTTCATCTTCTCAGGTTGTTTTAGTTCTGTTGAGAAGTCACAGAGTCACCCCATATTGCTTCAATGTACATTAATGGATTTTTAATATCAAATGCTATTCTCCATATTAACAGTCCTCCTCCATTTCCCCACCAAACATTCATTTTCCTTCAATCTGTCCCTTTCAAATGTTTTTTTTCCTTTCAAACCTCTAAACACTGCCCCTCTTTTTCCCCTCCCTTAAAGATGTCTTTGTCTTCCACTGTAGAGAGAAATACAAAGCAACTACATACACCAGTCTCCCTCCTATTACCTTAGCTTTGATTGCTGGTTTTCCTATTTAAAAAACAACTTTACTTATAAAAAAACAAAAAAACAAACAAAAAACCCCCCAAAAAACAAACACACATACACACAAAAACAAACAAACAAACAAAAAACCCCACTTTATTTTGTTTCACATACTGGGACTTTCTCATCAGCATTTAAATGTATTAGGTACCTTCAAATACCTCCAATATACAAAAGGAGAAAGGGGGGCTGGAGAGGTGGCTCAGTGGTTAAGGGCACTGGCTGCTCTTCCAGAGGACCTGGGTTTAATTCCCAGCATCCACATGAAAGTTCACATCTGCCTGTAACTCCAGCTCAAGGGTTTTGACACCCTCACACTAACATACATGCAAGCATGCAAGCAAAACATTAATACATGTAAAATATAATAATTTTTTTTTAAAGAAGGATCCTCCTTTTTTAACCTGGCATTTCTTAGTTGTCTCTCCTTCCATATTTGTCAAATTTTTCATGAAATTTTGCTGCAGACTCTTGTTGGCTCTGTTCATTTGAAGTCATTCCCTGTCACTCCTCTAGAATGTTCTTTTTAATGAAGCTTCATTTCACTATTGTTAATTATGTGTATGTGGTGGGGGTGGCATGGGCATATGAGTGCAGGTTCCTGTGGAGGCCAGTCACTAGCTCCCTCTGGGGCTAGAATTATGGGTGGTTACGAGCTTCTTGGGGTGAATGCTAGGAACTGAACTCAGGTCCCTGGCAAGAGGAGTCAGTGCTCTTCACTCTGTACAGTTTCTCTTGCCCTAAATATCTCTTCCCAGAATTGCTAATTTTATATTAGTAAATTTTATCTTCAATTTACTCAATTTTTAAGTAGCACCTGACAAGAGAACATCTCTCTCTTGAAAAGAAAAAAAAAAAAAATCTCCCCTCTTGCCGTTAAAAGAAAACCATTAACGTATGTGTAGCAAGCTGAACTCTGCTAGACACCCAAGTACTGCCTTTATCACTTTCCTCTCAACCCCCCTCCATGTTCTATGAGTCTTCACCTTCGCCATGGTCCAGTTTATCACCGTCTTTTGCTGCCAGTTGGCCATTGTCTTCGTTGGGACTGCTGCAGAAGTTAACTGTGTTTCCTAAATCCACTCTGATCTCTGGTGACCATGCTTCCCCATGACCAGCGGAAGCATTTCATTTTCAAAGAAAATCCATCATTTTATTACAAACCTCTAGTGACTGACTTATCATTGCTATTAGAATAAAAATCAGATTTTAACATGACTCTACTCCTAATGGTTAACCCCCCCCCTTTTTTTTTCCTGGTAGCCTCAGCCAAGATACTTCAGTTTCTGTTTGCCCAACTCATTCCTGCACTTTCTCCTTCAGTTCAGCTGGCACTACCTTAGGGGGACCTCACCCCAACCTCTATCAAGTTGGTTAGTTTCCTCTTTGCATTATTTTTCTGTACTCTCTCTTTTCCGAGACATTACTACAGGAGTATGCATGTGTTTGCAAAATTCTTGATTTAATATGGCTAGCCTTAATAATTCTTGACTTAATATTGCTCTCAGCAAAGTCGTAAGTTCTGCAAGGTCCATCCATTTCCTATTATAGCCCCAATGCCAGTGATGGAACCCATTGCATAACATGCTACATGACTTCATAGACAAAAGAATTCGAATTTAAAGTAAGGTTTTAGGGGTTAGAGAAGTGGCTCAATGGTTAAGAACACTTGCTGCTCTTCTAGAAGACTGCACTGTAATTCCTAGCACCCTCATGGTGGCTCACAACTGTCTGTAACTCCAGTCAGGGAACCTGACACCCTCTTCTGACCTACCCAGGCACCAGACATTGCATGTGGTACACACAGTCAAAACACTGCATACACATAAAATAAGAAAAAAATTAAAATAAAAATATAGAAATAAAATGAGATATTAACAAGGATACTTAAAAAACAACACAGTACAGGAACATACTGGGAAAGCAGGCAGTTACTATAAAATGTCATTTATCAGGAATCCTAAACATTCAGGAGCAATATGATATGAAAAGAATAAATCATAAAACCATGTGGATAACATGACTCCATGTGTATCAAGCAGTCATAGAGATACAACTAAGGAATAAATCCTGATTGCAGAAGTCGCTCCTGATTGATTCTATTAGGTTATTTAAATGTTCGTATTATCACCTACAGCTTCTGAAAATCATACGTGTCAGTTCTGTAAGAGGAAGATGGGGATTTTAAAAGAGAAAACCTGTTTGTTGCCTCAGTGAGGGTTTACAAGTCCCAAGAATAGATGCTAACTGCAAGTCATAGTTATTTGAATGCCCTATGATTTCTGAATTATTGTTGTTTCACCCTTAGTAACTTAAAATTAAAAGAAATATTTGGGAGCTAGCAGCAAATACAGAGACTAAAAACTGCAAATGCTTGTGTAAATACTGCCTACACAGGAACAAAATATGTTTATCTCAAGGGCCCAATATCATATGAAGTGTATAAATAGGGGGAAATATACTGTGTCTTCATTAAAGTGGCTACAACTATAATAAGAATTTAAGTATATCTTAAATAGCCTGAAAAAGTTAGATGAGGTCATTGTCTTTGACTTCCTATTTATATACCTAACATTACATCATACAGAAGTTATTCTGATATATTCAAAACTTATAACTGGGTGCATATTAAGTTATTCTGAGATAATGTTCAAATGTTTAGATCATGTTCATTTTGTCAAAATTATTGAATCTTTTCATCTTTAGCAAGCTAAAATCAAATTTGGTCAAGCCCCACTACAGACCTACTGAACTCATTGAGTTTCAGTTTCATAAAAAGAGTTTAGAAGATACAGGAACAAAGAATCATCTCCCACAGATATTGGAGTTTTGAGGCGAAGGCTCAAACTGGAGAGCACAGTATTGGTCCGGCAAACAGCAGTTATAAAGGTCACATGAAAAAAAGCTTGATAGAAAAATGGATTATTTATTTGAGGGCAACAATAAATAATTCAGAAATAGAGACAGTAACACCACTCAATCGAAAATTTGGAACTCATTCAAGAGTTTGGAAATATTTGAATAAAACTTGGCTCTATTTAACTTGCCTCTTATTAGTTTTTCATAGGGAAATTCTATTTCTTCAAACCAAACATAATTAACACTGCCATTTGTGTAACAGACATGTGGTTATTGTATGACCTTGTGTTAGGGCCATCTGTACTAATATCTCATGAAAGTTAGATTATCAGACAATGAAGAAATATTAAAAACCTCGAGCAAGGATTTTGGGCCAAGCTCTGACAATGGTTAATTAATTCATTGTCCTTGCAAAACATTTCAGTTTATAAGATCTAGTATGTTTACTTCAAAGACAGATGTTTATGGTCTCTTTAACAAGGTTAAGGCCTATTTTTGCTTCTTATTAATTGCTAGGGTATATAATAATGTTTTCACAAAAATTTAAAAGTAAACATTGTGCTTCATTTAAATGGATTTCTTGCAGCATACATAGACCTGTATGTCTTTCAGCTAACACAAAATACACAGTAGATATCATTAGGCATCCTTCTTTCTAAATGGAAAGTACTTGTAAAATAATAAATTAAATAAAAAAAAATGGAAAGTACTCCTCACACAAGACAAATTCATAGGCCCAGAAAACACAGTCTTGATGAATAGATTTACTCAGGTCAAGCCTTTCACTGAAACAATTACAGACTGATGAACTATGGATGTGAACTCATGTGTGCACATGTCCTCAGACCAATAGCCAGATGGTAGTGACACACACCTTTAATCCCAGCACTCGGAATGCAGAAGCAGGTGGATCTCTATCAGTTCCAGGTCAGCCTTGTCTACATAGTGAGTTCCCGAACACCCAAGACAGTTAGTTACAGAGAGAAACCTTGTCTTGACAAAACAAAACAAAAACAAGAAATGGATGAACAGTGACTCTCTCTAGCCACAAAAATGGAATTGGCAAAACTATCATAAGCAAGCAAAAGTAATGTAGAAAACTTTAGTTGACAGCTAGAGATACAAGGTGTGTCTCAGAAGGATAGGGAATACAAACAGACACAGCGGCAGTAGTGAATTGCAGAAGAGAAAGGAGCAGGTAAAAGCCACCCCAGTGGTCATGTTTCTCAGAGGACAGTAATTACTAGGAAAGATTAAGATGTACAACAAAGAGACTTCCTAACATGAGGCTTCAGGTGGAATTACCTTTCATCAATGTATGCACATTGATTTGGGAAATGTATTTAGACTTTGTTCTATTTTATATTCAGCCAAAGAAATGCTTTTTTTTTTTTTTTTTTTTTTTAAACAGAAATTGAGCATTGCATTTAGAGGACCGGAGCCAAGAACAACAGCACATCCTCTGCCTGGGGCTAAAGAAGTAAGAAGCCTGGGGAAGCATCTCTCATCTGTTCTGCTCTCCTTCTGTCATCGGTAGTTCCCAGTTTCCAAGCTGCACAAGGGCAGGTCAGTCACAGAGCGTGTGCTTTATGCTTTGCAGACAGAAGACCCTGCATCCTTCAGTCCTCAGCACCATTAAACAAATAAACAAACCACTCACACACACACACACACACACACACACACACACACACACAGAGAGAGAGAGAGAGAGATGTGCTTATGCCAAATCTCCACCCACCCACTCCCAATGTGCTATTGTCTAAAAAATCATTTGGAATACTTAAAGTTCATAATCTGATCGAGGGAGAGGGAAGTTGTTGTACCTATGAGTTCTGGAGACTCGGGGCTCCTAGTTGGAGCCTACCTCCAGGAATTCTCACCTAGCTTTCAGTAAATAGTAGCTGAGAACTAAACATGCATCTGACATTTTGCTATGCATCAGTAGAGCGGGCAGACATATATAAACTTGTTTTAAGTAAGCCAAAAAAAAAAAAAAAAATATGTGATTTAGTTCTCTCTCCAGATCTCAGAATCTTGTTGATCAGTTGGAAACAGTAACTTTCAGGGGGAAAAAAAGTTATGCCTAAAACCAACAGAGCTGGAAGGACAGTGGTGTGGTTCTTTACCTCTGGGGATATGCCATTTTGGTATGGCACAGAAGTCAGGGAAGTTCACCAGAGAGAAAAAGAAGACACCTGTAGAGAGTGTCACACAAAGAGAACAGGGAGCCATTATCTGATCGCCTCACCTGTTGACCAGATAGTCCCAATTGAGTTGTATCCAGTTCCAGGCCATGCTCTTCCCGTAGCTGTTGTATGAGATGTAGCGGATGACTGTAAACACATCCTGACTTTTAATAACATTCGGGTCTTTGAGCATTTCCAGATACCTAAGTGAAAGCAAAAGAAAACATCTTCAAAATGAACTTTGAATGTAAACCATCATCTAAATTCCAGGGCCACACAGCTTTCATTCCAGCCGCTCAAATCTTGAGGTACCAACGGACAAAATGAATTATATATGACAAATGGGAAAAGAAGATTTTTACAAAATTAGTTTATTTAACTGTTTTTAAAGAATTGATGAATGCTAAAATATAAACATTTTAATCTAACAATTTTAGTTAGGTAATGTTAAATAGTGAAACTATTATTGGAAATTAAACTAATTTAAAATTTAAATTATTTTGCAAGCACCAAAACAAAACTAAATTTTAATGATTATTCTAATTAAAAGAGCATTTATTAAATTGAATACACACACTTTCTTGTCTATTAGCCCACTGAATTTTTAAAAAGTGTATGTTAAAGAAAAACTTCAGGCCTTATTCTATAGGTCAGAACTTAAACTTGGCTTGCTACATGGTTAGATTAGCTAGCTATAATTATAGTGTAATACAAATAAGTTCAGGATGAATTAAAGAGCAAGAGGGTAGATGTCCCTCAATGTTATACTGTGGTGTTAATTAGAGTTGACCTTCTAAGTCCGTATTGCTATTAGAATTATTTCTATCTGAAGTTAACACAGGTTTTGTTTACTATCAGAAAAGCACCTCAGAAGTACCTACATGGGACATACTTTAATAATCTCCTTATCTTATTTCATGGCTTCCTACCTACTGACTTGGACCACTTCTATTTTTAGGGTAGATAAGGGTTAATAACTACCCAAAAGGATCACTGTTAACTTGAGATGTGAGATGGAGAGATATACCCCTTATCAAAGAAAGAAACATAGATTTTTACACTTTCAAACATACCAACATCAAGCACACTTAATACTGGAGTCTAGATATAAAGGTCTGTAGTTGAAGGCCTGGTCCCCACTTGCTAACATAGTAGAAATAATTGGATGCTGATGGTGCTGTCTTCATCAACGGATTGACACATTGCAATGAATAACTAACTCAATAGGCTGGGAAGAGGTCCTGCTTAATTGAAGGAAATGGGTCACTTTGAGGGGTGTACATTGTCAGCCTCCTTCTCTGTTTCTCTCTGTTTCCTGGCTGCCATGTGGTGAGCAGCCTTCCTTCTCTTTACTCTTCTCCTGCCACGCTTCTGCCTTCTGTCAGGCCTAAGGACATTGGAACATGCACTCAGGTCCCTGAGCCATGAGCCAGAAGTAATCTTTCCCCGCTCTAAGTTATTTTCTTGGGCATTCTGGCACTGTGATAGAAAAGGAAGACATTTGACCCCTGCATTTACCATAAGCAACACTGAAGAAAACTCAGGCTTTCAGCCCAGCTCATATGACATGGGACATTCGAATATACTTCCATGTCTTTTCATTCTTCAGGGGAAATTCTGTTGCTCAATATCTAACTTTGTGCAATGCCCAGTGTGGAATGGGAGAACAACAGTATGGCATAGGCAAGATGAGGTGACTAGATTAACTGATTTAAGGAACACCATGCTGCTTTAGCTTGTTGGCTGTGGGGGTGGAGACCCTGGACAAATCTTCGGTCTCAAAAAGAAATGTGCAGGGAGTCTGAAATCGGCTCAGAGCAAACCAAAGTGTTACACAGCACAAGTACTTCGGGAGTGAAAGATATGACTGTGACCACAGCATTCATCTCCAGAAGGCAGTGTTCTAGAAGGTAAGGTATGAGTAGATAAAACCCATCAGGCTTTGGCCCAGGACCAAAATAGATAAATACCATAGGGAAGATGAGTAAGAAATAGAGTATCCCTTTCTCCATCACTACAAAAGGACATATGACTTCCTTGAATACAAGGAAAAGGTACAAGGGAGGAAGCTATAGGACACTTACTTTAATAGACTACATGAACTGGGGTTTGCATTTAACCAAGCATTTAAAAACCAGACTTGCAGACGAACACAGCCAGAGCCAGTGGTTCCTCTCTGCACTGGCTTATAGAACCAATCAGCTGGGAAACAAAGATGACCATCTTTTTTAAGCACTTGTGGTGCTACAGATAAACCTACTTTCATGTGAAATATAGCACATTTACCGTATGCTTCGGATAAACGAGGAATTCCAGGGGACCCCTCACTTCACCCCAAACTTGCTGCCAACCCTCCTTGTGCTATAGGCATCAATTAAGTTCTGGAAGACTCTGTAGACGCTTGGAATATCAGTCTCAAATGTGAATATTGCTTTAGATTCACAGCTCATAAAGACCACTAGCCACAAGATCACTTCCTACGGCAGATGGTGCAAAGTGGAGCAACTTGTCTTTCCCAATGAATGCCTTAGAGGAATATTTTATCACGCGTGGCCATTGAAATTCACGAGAATATACTGATGTGGTAGGCCCTGAAGGTGTGTGTGTTTCATTTTTCTTCTACACCTGCATGCACAGAGTCTTTTCTAAAACATCTAAAGTAGTTGCTCAATTCCTTAACAAATATAATTAGCACCATGCCATCTAGTGTCATGATTTGACATGTGTCAAGACGGTTATAGTCACTATTTGATCTAAACCAATTTTGTTTTATAATTTTAATTTTTTATTCTTTTATGTGTGTGGACATCTTCTTTGCATGTGTGTCCATGAATCACTCTAGAGCCTGGTGCCCCTAGAGGCCAGAAGAGGGCATCAGTTCCATTGGGACTGGAGTTAACAGGCAGTTGTGAGTCACTAGGTGGTTTCTGGAATCAAATTAGGGTCCTCTGAAAGAGCAGTCAGTGCTTCTAACTGCTGAGCCATCTCTCTGGTCTCCCAAATTTATTTTAAATTAAACATTAATGTGGCAGTCCTGGTTGTTAGCAGAGGCAGGAAGATTGCCTTAATATTAATCCACAGGGCCACATAGTAAGATCTTGTCTAAAAAACAAATTTTAAAAAGAGAAACTTAATAATAAATTACACCTAAGTGTACATGTTAACATTAGAGGATTTGCCTGGCATGGGCAAAGCATTGGTTGAATTTAACCTCAGCACCACAAAGTAAAGAGAAAGAACTTGCCTTGACAAAAGAGTGACACTCTTCACAGAAGCTAGCCCATAGAGCAGTTTTTCTTTTTCTTGTGCTAGGGAGGTTTTCTGGTATTGCTCTAGAGTATAGTTCCATGAAGTCTCGTTGCCAGAGTCCTGCATTCCATAGCGGTACACCAGAAGCCTGAGATTTACAGGAATGCTGCAAGAAGAAACATGTTTCAGGAATTTCATGTGTTTACTCACAAATTTATTAAAATCTTCTAGACAAGTGAATAACACAAATGGTCACCTTTCATTCTTTTGTAGCCACTTATCAAATAACTGGGAAGCGTTGTTCAAGGCTTCTCTGTCTTCCATCTTGCATGCAAATCCTAACACAGAGGCACGGAGTAACCTTAAAAAACAAACAAGCACAGAGCCAGGGCCTTAGCAACTTTTCATCATATTTTGAAACACAAACACACAAATGTTAAATGAATAGTTTTTAAAATGTAAGAAATTACTTTTCAATGTGGCTTCCATTATCCTGCCATCCTAGAGAATCTGCAATGGGCTTCACTTGACCTTGGAAGTACGTCTGAAACAGAAGCAGAATATACCATGAGTAAGAATTAGTTATTTGTCTGTAGCTTCTGTTACCTAGAGCCATCACTGCAATCTTTGCCTTAGTTTTGAGAAGGTTGGGCCAGCACTTAGGAAAAGAAGGTGATCACATTTTATAATGATAATGCTAAGTTTTCCTTCAGTCCTAAACATGAAAACCATTCAAGATCTTTCTTTAATGTTTTCCAAACACGTTGACTGAGCTTTGTTGCTTTGATTGTCAACTTGACACAACCTAGAATCACCCAAAAAAGGAGTCTCTATGGGAAATAGTCTAGATCTGGTAAGACTGTGGAGATTGTCTTGATTCCATTATTTGATGTGGGATGACCCAGCTCACCATTGGTGGCACCATTCCCTAGGGAGAGAATTCTAAGTTAAGAGTGGAGAAATAAAGCTGAGTACTCACAAGTTCTTTGCTCTCTGCTCTTGACTGTTGATATAAAGGGACCAGCTGTTTTAAGTCTCTGCCACCCTGATTTCCCAACAATGGACTGTGTGAAAATTTTAATGTAACTCACTCGCATAATGTCATAGGGAATGGCACTATTAGGAGGTGTGGCCTTGGAGGAAGTGTGTCACTGTGGAGGCAGGCTTTGAGGTCTCATATATACTCAAGACACCACCCAGTGTCACAGTCCACTTCCTGTTGCCCTCTGATCAATATGTAGCCAGCACCCTGTCTACCTTGCTCCCCACCATGATGAAAATGAACTGAACCTCTGAACTAAGTGGCCATCTCAATTAAATGTTTTCCTTTTTTAAGAGTTGCTGAGGTGTCTTTTCAAATCTGTCTAAGAGAGAAGAGAGTACAACCCGGAATTGTATTTAAATTGATTTTATCAGGGTATTGTTATCATAGCAACAAGAAAAGAAAAAAACAGTTATTTCTTCATTATAGTATAAGTAGAAAGACACCTCACACACTTCTGATACTAAGATAACTATTTAAGCATTGATGAAATATTAAAAAATGACAGCTATTTAGATTTACAAAGACTGTTTAGGGAGCCTCACTATCCCATTACCACAGGCAGACAATTACTAACATTCCTATTACACAAATAAAACTGTATATACTCACAAATATCAAATCATATTTTTCAAAGGTCTTTCACTTAGTATACAAAATAGCCAGATTTGGACTCAGAATCTGTTTAATAGCCTGCTCAAGTGCTATTGAAATGACAAATAAAATGTAAACACAAATTGTGAAATTAAAACAAAAATCCTAATGTGGAGTTGAAAGAAAATATAATATTCTTATTTTTTTATATTTTGTTAATAATAAGCTAATTTTAGCAGCTAAATCAGTTTTAAAGTGGATTCTAGTCTATAGTTTAAAATCTTATAAATTTATAAAATAGTCATTCATTTTGATACTAAAATGGATACCTTTTTGAGATATACTGAAACACAAATATGACACATTTCAAAGTGAAAAAGATCAGACAGTCTGTCTATTTTGATTAGTCAAGTGCTAGAACATCTCTTGATTTCATGTGATGGATAGATATCCCACAAGGGCTCCTTCCCTTAGAAACCACCCCAGTCTACTGACCATTTACATTTGTGGTGTGCTCATAGCATTAACATCACCTTTATCATGGGGTACAGCTCTCTGTCATCTTCAAACATGCTAATGATGTAGGTTAGGGCTGAAATGGCTCTCTGCCATGGCAAGAAATCCTCTTCTGATTTGAGATACCTGGTCAAGTTCAGAGCTTTCCCATAATTCAGAAGTTGAGCTCTGATAGAGAAAATAAATAGGACAATTTATTGAAAATTGGAAATTGGACTTTCAATTGACAGGACCAATATGGTGACTCTAGCAATTCATATTAGTGACAATTCTTCTATCAAACAATTGAAAAACTGCACTTAGGAGTTGGAGAGATGACTTAGTTGTTACAAGCACTTCTGGCTTTTGCAGAGGACCAAAGGTCTCAGCATCCCTGTCTGGAGGGTCACACCTGCTTGTAATTCCAGCTCTAGAGGATCAGATGCCCTCTTCTGTCCTCTACGGGCTCCACCATATGTGTGTGTGTGTGTGTGTGTGTGTGTGTGTGTGTGTGTGTGTGTACGTACGTACGTACGTACGTACGTATGTATGTATATATGTGTGTGTATATGTGTGTGCTTTGTCTTTTTTATCTTAAAAAAAAAAAAAGTTGCACTGGTTGTTGAGACTCAACTGAAAAGTTTTTGCTCAGGGTTGGCCCTGGAAGTCACCACCACAAAAAATTATAGAAAAGTATTTCTAAAAGTTTGGTTCAAATATGTTTGAGAAGAATGTTAGCTAGAAACCTTGTCCTCAAAATTACCCTTAACATTTTGAATATCGACACACAGACATTCTCTCAGTCTTAACCAGTGATAAATGAAGAAGATTATGGCAGCTCTAGGAGCTGAGATTAAGTGATGATTGAATGTGCAGGAGCATTGCAGAAGAGGTCCAACTCAGGAGAGCTTTGGAAAACACATCTTTGCTGTTCATAATCCAAGGTGAATGCACTTTGGTCAAGTAGTAGGATTAGATGATTCTTTTCTATAAGGATTCTGATCCAGACAGGGATTAAAAGGTTACTTCTATTTCTATAGAACCAGAAATTCAGTCAGGTTAAAAAACCTGTAACCCTTAGAAAAATGTCAACATTTTTGGACTTCCAATATCATGTAAGGAATCCATGTAAAATGTTTCTGCTTAAACTACTAACCATCAATACAACTATGAATCTGATTGGCTAGTAGTTATTGAACAATAACTCTGAGTAACAGTCATATGTTAGTTTGGATGGCTATTATCATACAGGATTTCTTGGGCAGTATGGATACTAATAAGCAATGATAATACAGTACTGTGGAAAACAATTAGGCACCTAAGAATAATGCACAATTCAGGCAGAGGAACCAGAAGAAGCCTCCTAAGGAAACTGCAACTACCATCATGCTTAGTAAAACTACTGAAAAACATATAAATCAAATGAGCTGTGTGTCTAGCTCCTACAGAGGGTCAGTGTAGTAGCACCTTGCTCTGCCAGTGAACTTGTGGTGTGGATTCAGGTGTGCAGATGTGACCCCTTATAAAGTAGAGGAGTATCTGGCTTGCTCTTGGGTTGCAGTGAGAGCATCGGAAGGGCAGAGACTGCATCTTCTGGAGCAGGAAGGCCACAGCAGTTATTTACTATTATTTGTATAAGAGCTTCCCTAATAAATATCTATTTATCATTTATCCTGGGTCTGGTGAACTCATTTAAACACTGCCTTCAGGTCAGATTTTTAATAATTATTAGAGTCAGGTGATCTGAAAAACATCAAGAGGTGCCATAGTCACTGTCCCACTGTTCTCCAATCCAGGTTGCTTCTCAAAGTTCAGATTACTCTCAGATCATAAAAAAAAAAAAGTCAAATTTCCAAAATCGTTCCAAAATGCTGACCAATGCGATAGCACTGTGGATTATTCTTCTTGTCCCAATGACTTCGACAAAAATTCACAATTCTCAATTGAAATATCTAATAGTAAGCTTGGGCTCACAAAACTGAAACACTGGACATTTGTTAAAACGATTTATGAAGGGATATTTTAAAAGTGTGCCATTTAAAATTTAAGTGGGCCTACCACTGTGCACATGTGAAGTTCAGAGGACTGTATATCACAATTACTTCTCTCCTATCATGTGGGCCCTCAGTCTTGAACTCAGGCATGGCAGAAGCCACCTCTACCCTTTGAGCAATCTTACTAGTTTAAGATGCACTTTTGATCATTTTAAAATATCACTAATTAAATCAAAGACCCTGATATGGAGTATATCACACCCCATGCCATCAGGGAAGAAGGTGGGGATGGGAAGTTTGTATGTCTATGAATAGATACTATATGAATTTCTTTAAAAGAGGGCCAAAAATAACAATAATGATTAAAATACAGACTTTGGATGTTTTCAATTAAAAAAAAAAACCTCATACCTAAATGTAGTTGCAATTAATTTTAAAGATTTATAGGAAAACTAATGGTATGTTAAGTGACCCAACCTCACGTCAAGACATACCTTGCCAAAGCAAAAGCATCATCAATAAAACTTGTACGGTCAGCAACAGAGAAGATCTGGAAGAGGAAAGAAAAAAACCAAAGAGCATTGAAAAAATTAGTATCTTTAAAATTCTGTTCTTGGAACACAACTACAATAGTTCATAACCACACAATATCTTACCAAGTGGTTTGAAGACAGAGTCCCAGCTATCGAGTCCCAAGTTTGTGCTTCATAATTTACACGATAAAACCCAATGTGATCTGGGTTTATTTTGAGAAAAACATCTTCACCAAGACTAGAATTCAAAATGATTCCTGTGGTAATAAATAAACACTAATGAGAAACATACTTGCATACACAGTAAACACAGAAATTAGACCCAGAGGGCAAAAAGAAAGAAAAGCAATATTAGCTCAAAGAGTAGAGTTTGATTTGGACCCAAAGCCCCTAAGCCTAATTCTAACTTTAGAATGTCACTGGAGTGAGCAAGAGGAACAAGAAAGAAGCAATGTCAACAAGCATCCTGCCATTTGTAACTTACACTCCTCCCTGGCAAAAGCATGTCACATGAGTACAGTGACTCTAAGTTGGTCAGTCTTTCAGTAAAGAAAATGATGCCCAATGACAAAGAAACCCATGCTTCCTAGGAGGAGTCCATACATTCCCAAGTGTAATGGATAAAATATTCAAAACGTATTCACTAGGACAGCATGTAGAAGAGCTGAGATGCAAACATTTAAAGAATACCTCAAAATCACTTCTGAATTGGGACTTATTGGTATATGTTCAAAATTCCAGCTACTTGGGCTTACCTGGACTAAGGTGAGTTCAAAGCCAGCCTGAGCAACCTACTGAGACCTTGCCTCAAAATCAGATTAAAACAGGTCTAGGGATGTGGACTAGTGGTGGAGCACTTGCCTAGCAGGAAGGAGTCCCTGGGTCAAATCCTTGGAACAAAATACATCCAGATTATAGCTAGTGGAAATAAACATTACTAAGCAGAACGATAATGTGAGAGTCATGACATGTTTTAGGTGTTAGGATATGCTGCAATACAAAGTTCTTACTTGGAAATCTACTTCCTACATGTGCTTTCAATCCTATTTGTCTTTGCAAGGCCATCTGTGTCTTATCTCAGTTGACAATAATCATGTTTTTTATCAGTGAGTTAGCATACTAACTTTCTTCCCAAAGTACCATCCAATACGCATACAGGGCTCCACCATCAAGCTTTTAGAAGCCCAATGCTTAAGAGACAGAGACCTAAATTTTAGGTCAAACATGTGCCTTAAAAGTAATAACTATGCTTAGATACCACAAGTATCTGTGAGCATCACTTCTATTGTTTTCCATTAATGTATATTTTGTCTGCATGGAAATGAACTCTTCAAATGATGGTGTGGGGACTTAGATTATGTGAGAGATTTCAAGGAGTTTAATATAGTGACAATGTAGGAAATATTACTGTAAAATAGCAGATGAGGCTGGCAAGGGAGACCAGTGTTCATGGCACGTGCCATGTGAAAGAATTCATCTTTTGAGAGGGAAAAACACAGAAAAGACTGCCAAACAAGGTAATGACATGTCTAAATCTGTTTTCTAGAAAAAGTCATTTTTGGCAGTGATATGGAAAATATTCTGGATTAGATTCTAAAAGCAGCTGTAATATTCTAGGACAAATATCTTTTCCCATTCCAGAGGTCTTGTTGACCGTGTCCTGTAATGAGTACGGTTTTTCCTCCCGCTGCCAGTCTTGTCCCGCCGCCGCGCCAGCCCCAAATAATACACAGAGACTCTGTATTAGATATTATACTGTTGGCCAGTTACTACTTTCTTATCGGCTAGCTCTGTCTTAAGTATTAACCCATTTGTGTTAATCTATGTATGTCCACGTGTTCTTCTTACCGGGAGCCGGCTGCCACATATTGCTCTCTCCAGACTCTCCATCTTGACTCTTCCTTCCTACTTCCTATCTCCTCCTTGTCTCCTAGTCCCTCCTATCTTCCTTTCCTATTGGCCAACAGTGCTTTATTATTAGCCAGTATGAGAAACATATACAGAATGACATCTCCCATCAGTGTCCTTTGCCTTACAGAAGCTTTTCAGTTTCAGGAGGGCCCATTTAGTCATTGTTGCTGTGCTACTGGTATTGTATTTAGGAAGTAGTCTCCTGTGCCAATGTGTTGAAGGCTACTTCCCACTTTTCTTTTCTATAAGGTTCAGTGTGATTGATTTTGTGTTGAGGTCTTTGATCCATTTGGACTCGAGTTTTGTCTGACAGAGGACTGATCTCTAAAATATGTCAAGAAACTACACAGCAAAAGACAAAATAATCCAGTAAAACATGGAGTACAGAACTAAACAGAGAATTCTCAAAAGAGGAATCTCAAATGGCAAAAAGATACAAAGAAATATCCAACATCCTTAGTCATCAGGGAAATGCAAATCAAAACAACTCTGAGATTCAATCTTACACTTGTCAGAATGGCCAAGATAAAAAACTCTGATTACATCTTATGCTGGAGAGGATGTGGAGAAAGGGGAACACTTCTCCATTGCTGGTGGGAGTGCAAACTTGTACTGTGTAAATCAGTATGGTGGTTTCTCAGAAAATTGGGAATAAATCTATCTCAAGACCAAGCAATAACACTTTTGGGCATATACCCAAAAAATACTCAATCATACTACAAGGACATTTGTTCAACTGTGTTCATAGTAGCATTGCTTATAATAGCCCGAACTGAAAACAACATAGATTCCCCTCAACCAAAGAATGGATAAGGAAAATGTGATATATTTACACAATGGAGTCTACTCCGCAGTAAAAAAACAATCACATCTTGAAATTTGCAGGTAAATGGATGAACTGGAGAAAGCCATTCTGAGTAAGTTAACCCATATCCAGAAAGACAAATTCATCATGTCCTCACTCATAAGTGGATATTAGACATAAAGTAAAGAACAATCAGCCTATAAGCCACAAACTCAGAGAAACTAGGTAATAAAGAGGACCCTGAGAGAGACATATATGGATCCACCTAGAAAGGAGAAAAAGACAAGATCTCCTGAGTAAATCGGGAGTGTGGGGGGCAAGGGGGAAGGATAAAAGGGGAGAGGGGAGGAGGGAAGTGTATAGCTTGATTTAAAAAATAAACAAAAAGAAATTAGCTGATTTCTCAATGACTTAAAAAAAAATCTAGGACAAAAAGGGTAAGAACTTGGACTGATGTGGCCACAATAAGAACAGCAGAATGGAGTTAGAAGGAGAGCCGGCACAGCCCTCCTTCTGCCTAGAGGAGAGGCAAAGGCATGCACAGTGGGTGAGTGATGATGTTGCAGAGAGGAGAGGAGAGGAAGGCAAGTTTGGGAGGAAAGATGATTTAAATTTTGGAAGCATTTGCAAGGCCTGGAAGCTATCCAGGACCCAGTAGTTTTTCATAATATATAAGTAAATTCTTCCACAAGACAATACGTTTCCTTAGGAACTTTTGGAGCAGGTACTTGACAAATTATAAACCCTTACCTCACTTGTGCAGTGTTCATCTTTCTTTGTCATTTGGCCATGAAGAAGTTGTTGAAAGGAAGCTAATCTTTTGGCAACCTCACTCTTTGAATGTTTGTATTGGGAGGAGAGTTTCTTGCTCAGGGTAAAGCCATATGTTACTGAAGATGGAACAGGAACTTCTTAGTTTGACAGACCTGGGATAAAACCCTTTCTATGAGACTGGCAAGCTGTGTAACTCTGGCCAAATCACTTGACCTCTCTGTGTTACAATTTACCAGGAGGAAAATGGGGATCAAAATCCCTCTCGGGACTGTTGTGAAGATTAAGTAAGATAAGGCACATAAAGCGGGGTCACATCGTTAGGTGTTATGTGACCAACAGATGGTAGCTATCCCCATTATTATGAAACGGGATAGGCTGCCTGGTCTAGAAATAGCCAAGCAAATATAAATAACATTGAGAAGTTCCTGGCAATCCATCTAAATACTGCAGTAATTTACTGTGCTTTCTATGTGCCCGGCTAAGCCTGTCTAATGTTACCTCAATTTTTTCTCACTTTATGGATGAGGAAGTTGAGACCCAGGAAGTCAGTAGTTAAGGACTTTCCAAGTTCCTGCTACTTTGAGAACAGTTGACAGCAGCAAACTGAGGGCTGTTCCATGTTGTAGAGAAGCAAGTAGAACTGAATAACCACTGTCTGCTTATGGGTATAAGAGTGTGCAGCTGTTTTTATTCATATGTGCCTTACAGGATACCTGGGAAGTAAAGTATAAAGAATGTCAGGCAGGGTGGCACATGCCTGAGCTGTATGCAATTCCAGCACTCAGGAAGCTGAGGCAGGAGGATGGCTGCAAGTTTTGGGCTAGTCTGTGCTGCAGAATTGACCCTGTTTCAAACAGAACCAAACAAAAAAGCATACATAGTAATATAAAAGCTACTCATCCAGCTTCATTTTTAAGAATTTCTTTGTGTGTTTATGTAGGAGAAGCAAACAAGCACGATGGCATCCTACCCACTCTTCCTATGATTAGTAATCTTGGTCATTTGGAATTACTTTCCCAAGTCTTACTTTATATTTTGAAAATGGATGTGTAATGACCACAGTGGAGTCTTGTCACCCACTTTTATAAATGATTTTGTTCTATTTTAATTAGTTCTGTGCAGCAAATGTTGATTAAGTTATGCCTGGATGGGGGCTCTTTCTTAGGAATGTCATTCTCAGGGCTGGTGGTCTTGTGACTGAAGGACTGGCCACACAAACAGAAGACTCAAGCTGGGGTCGCCAATACCGCCCTAGTAGGCTCACATCTGCCACCATCCTTAAGAGGGAAAACAGAGGTGGATACCTGGGCCTTTGGCCAGCCAATCAACCCAAGATAGTGAGCTTCAGGTTTAGTAAGAGACCTTGCCTCAAAGACTAAGGTGGAGAGTGGCTGAACTCCGATCTCCATAACCCATACAAATGGTTGAGTGTGTGTGCTCTATTGCACAAACATGCCTAGAGCATGCACATACACACATAATAAGAATATTTTTAATCAATTTAAAATTTGCACTCTCTAAAATCAAGCGTGATTCACTATAAAATGGGATTTTTTTTTTATCCATGTGTGGTAACCTTTTTCCACAACACTGTGCCACATTTGTAATCCCAGCTATTCAAGAGACTGACGTGAGAGGATCTTGAATCAGGAGTTGAAGGTCAAAGACTAGCCTGGGAAACTTAGTGAGCTCACAGAGTGGTAGAGGAGAGAAGATGGGAAGAGGAAGAGAGTACTGAGGAACTGAGCCATGTTTGTGTGAGTTATAAGTGCCTGGCTTCCTCCAGATCTCAGCAACTGACAGAGCTTTTGCCTGCAAACAATGCTCCTTGCAATTGTTTGTTCTTTGGTTTTGGGGACAAGATTGTGCTACATGGCCCAGGCTAGTCAAGAGCTTGCTAGATATCCAAGGCTGACCTTGTACAAGGGACCCTCCTTACTCAGCCTCAAGCTACAGCTTTTTTTTTTTTTTTTTTTTTTTTTTGTGGCTTTGGAGGCTGACCTGGAACTAGTTCTTGTAGACCAGGCTGGTCTCAAACTCACAGAGATCTGCCTGCCTCTACTTCCCCAGTGCTGGGATTAGACGTGTGCCACCAACGCCCAGCTTCAAGCTACAGCTTTAATATATACTATGCAATTCGAGGAAGTCTTAAAAAAAGGCATCTATCACCTATCATGAGGAAAGGTTTTCCTTAACGTTGATTTGAGTGGTTTGGAAGAACACCAAGGGAGAGCTGGATGGTGAAGATCTGCCGGCATGTCTCCCATCTGCCCCGGGAGACAGGTGCCCACCTGAGCCAGCACATACATTCTTGCCTGTTTTACTTTGAGAAGTCTGGTTCTACAGACAATAGCATATGTGACAGAAACCAGTTAGTTGTTCCCTTCCACTAGGTAAGACCTAGACTATGTATGCTAGTCTCCCTCACTGCTAAGTGGCGGCATGCTGTTGAGAACTAGCTGTAAAATGTAGACAGAAGTAATCGGTATTTTAGTAGTCCTGTGTGCATACCAGTTGAAAAAGACCAAGAAAGATTCTAACATCTAGGTTGTATTAGAACTACAAGATGGAAGAAAACAGATTTGACAAGCTGTTATTTTCTGGACAGTCACCCGAAGACACGGGGAGCCAGAAACATTCATCGAATCAAGGCACTATTGACAGCTTCTAAGTACAATAACCATGCTCTCCTGGACAATGTTTTGTGTCTGTATCACAGTTTGATGACATCTTTAAAAGTATGGCTTTATCCCATGATCCCCTAACCCTTGCTTAGTATATGCTCACTGGGAAGAGATATCTAATTAGCCTACACAGGTGCACTGTTCATTAGTATACCAGTATACCTGGTTAGTACCTAGGACAGTCAGCCCTCTTGTTTAATCTCTTTGATTGACTGGGGCTGGGCTGAGAAACTGGGGTTCTAAGACGGCATAACCAATTTCATATGTGTATGTTACACAAGACTCAGTGTGAAAGCATGGAAAAAGTCCTTCCCTCTTTGGCACACATGAAGTTATGCGCTTGGCATTTGTTTGGTAGTAAATATTTAAACACACCCATTTGAAACATTTTAGTAAACCCTGTGTCTATGATACTGGGATTTGCTCATTTAAATTCTTACAGTCCAGATACGAAAGTCATAAAAATCGTCATCCCCAAATCTATAGCTGTCCTAGGTCTTAGACCCTGCTTTAGATTCTGCATCTGGAGAAACAACTTAGGCCCCCTCCAAGACCTCACTCCTGGAATGATGTCTTAGGCCCTTTCCTATAGCAATGTCCTAGGCCCATCTCTTTGACTCCACACCTGAGATAACGTTTTGGTCCCTCTCCCAGCTCCCATTCCTGGAGTAATGCCTACAGAAACAATGTTCAAGCAAGACTGATAACTCCCTTGTCCTGTGACAACTTTCATCTAAATGCTAGGATGCAGAAAATCAAAGCAAAAAGGTAGAGTCCTATTAGATATAGCTGCATTGCTATAACAGAAATAGCAACTGATATCAAAGACAGGGGTCTCTAACCAGAGCACAGGTAACATCACCAGAGAACAGGCTGGGCAAACAGCCCTCTGCTAAGCAAATGCTCGCCAGATTCTTACCATGTGCCTAGCAGTTGCTGATAATCTCTGGGGGATGAGAGATATGGTAAGTACTTCCAGGGGCTTATCATTTAGTTGAAAATGAAAAGAGAGCAAATGGAGTTTCTATAACTACAATTTCTATTTAAATACCAACATTAAGAATAAAAGGGCTGGCAATGCTGCCAGCATCAGCTATATAAGAAAAACAAAAGTATTTAGAATGCTAATCTTCTGTAACATCCCAGTGACCACAAATAGCAGCGGTGAAGAAAAGGAAGTATAGTTCGGTAAGAGTAAATCCATTTTGACAGAGTTCAGACAATTTAAATGAAGGTGGTTTTCTGTCTAGGTTCAAATATCCAGAAAACATTTTGTTTGGGATTTGCTTCTTTTGTTAGAAAACAAATATTTTTACCCACTGCTTAAAATATCATGTACAATACAAGTGTAAATAAAAGATCCCGGAAGTCCTATTATTGCTTGGGGCATTTCTAACTGATGAATCATCAGAGTGGCTGAGAACAGGGACGTGAGACAGGTAACACGAGCTCGTTGCCCATCCAGTGCACACAGGACATATTCATCATCTGTGCCCTGAGCTCAAACTGTCCTCAAACAGGAAACAGGAACTCATGGCATAACCTAAAAATGGAGCAGGCACTTTGAAGAAGGAAGAGATGTCCAGTGTTTTCCTGGCGAGGAGACCGATCATGGTTCTAAAGTTTCCGATAAAGGTAGGATTTGTTATCCTAGCTCCCTGAACACCAGAGCCCTTTATTCATTCCTTTATTCACCCATGCATGCAATAAACAATTATAGAGCAACAGCCAGAAAGTCATTCATTTCATCACAAGTAGGAGGCTAGCCTGTCTCAAAAATAAAACAAAACAAAAATTTGCCTGAAAGAATTAACTGATGAATTAAGGATTGTGTATCCAAAAGATTCTTTCTAATAAATATATTTATTCCAAACCCTGGAAAGAAAGAAAGTATGAAAGAGCAAAGATGAAAACTCCCAAGGCAGAAATATTACTATACAAATGATTCTAATTCATTCTGTAGGATCAAAAATGTCCAAAGAATATGACAGATGAAGAAGAGGTGACATATTCATATGACATAGGATGATACATATCCACTACGGGAGACAATCAAGCATTGACCTTTGCCACAACATGGAGGAACCCTGGAAAGCCTGTTTTAATTGAAATGAGACAGCAGAAAAACACTATTATCATACAGCAATTTTCCAGAATAAGTTAAGTCCTCATGGGCATAAATTCAGGAATTGTTTAAGGCTTAGGCATGTGGAGGATGAAGGGAAAGTCACTAAAGGTATGAGTCTCTGAGGTGATGATATCACTGAGCTATAAAATTAATCAAAAAGACTGGATGATACACTTTATTTAATTTTTTTTTGAGATGGAGTTTCAATTCAGGCTGCCCTGGACTGCAGGCTGACTTTGAACTCTCTAAGTAGCTAATAATAACCCTGAGTTTGTGACCCTCTTGCTTCTGGCTCCTGAAGGTTGGGATTACAGCTGCTCGCCGATTTTGCGGTTTAATAAGGATCTGGATAAACAGTTAGGCCAAATAGATGTTTATTCAGGGAGAAATAACTCACAACATAGACAGGTGAACACCAGTAGGTTCCTGCTTCCAAGAATGCCTCCAGGGCTTGCGCCTCTGCTTCCTCCAACCTACTTCCCCAGGTCACTTCAGCCCATGGCTCCACCCCAATGGGCGTGGTCAGTGCCACAGAAGGAGACAAAGTGAATATCCCACTACACTCACCAACACATCTGGTTATATGTGGTGATGACAACTGTCCCAGGCCTTCCTGAATGCTGGGTAAGCATTCTTCTACTGAGCTACAGCTCAGGTAACCCACTTTAGATGGGTGAATTTAGGGACAAGTAACCGGGTGCAGATAAAGGAATGTAGCTTGCTTTTAATTTCAAGAACTCCCAGAGAAAGCCTACAGAATATGCTGTTCTAAGACCACATTCTCATGGGACAGAATGAAGAAATCCAGTCTCTTAGATAAGAAATGTTTTGCGGCATAAAACAACTACAATGGTCAAATCACAAAAGGCAAGATTATCCATGGCTTAGTTATTGTGATAAAAGATGTATTGAGTTGGTCTTTGCTAGAAAATGACTTGAACTCTAGCTAGGATAGTAAAATGCACAAATAAAGTATCCCCTTAAAAAAATTCCCCTGGGATTGATGCTAAAAGTCCTCTTACTTATTGGCTTTATTTCCCCAGCAATTTTGAAGTTTGTGATAAGATCTTGATTTTAAAGAACCCTAAATTGTTTTTCAAGTAAGGAAAAGAAAAACGAATGGAGAGAGAGCAGGAAACACATAGTAAACTGATTGTTTTAATTGAAAAAGAACATTTGAAAAGCAGGCCATTCTCATGGTATCCTAAGAAATCTAGTTTTTTTTTTTTTAAGATTTATTTATTTATTGTGTACACAGTGTTACACCTGTATGTATATATGTCTGCAGGCCAGAAGTGGGCACCAGATCTCATTACAGATGATTGTGAGCCACCATGTGGCTGCTAGAAACTGAACTCAGGACCTTTGGAAGAGTAGGCAGTGCTCTTAACCACTGAGCCATCTCTCCAGCCTGAAATCTAATGTCTTATTTGATATAAAGAGCAGAAGAAAGAAAGAGAGAGGAAAGGAAGAAAGAACAGAGGGATGCACTGGAGGGCGGGGAAGCTAGGAAAGCAAGAATCTTCCAGCTTGATTCCCCAATGACTGGCAGCCAAGCGCCACTCCTTTAGCTCTGGTGATGTGCTCCTATGTGCAATGACAAATTCCTGGAAAGATGATGGAGGTGGGAAAGTTCTTGTTGTAGACAAAGTTGTAGAATTATTGGTAAGTTATTTAAGAGACGAGTTTTAGCTGAAATGTACAAGTTTTGGCTCAATTGCTGTTCATTGTATTTATAATCATTCACTGAAATGCATCAATTCAAAGAAGAAATGAATGTGTTAAATAACATTTACCTTCTTTTTCTGACCTGTTGTAGACGGCAACGTTTGAATTGTTATTTTCGGCCCATTTAATTGGAATATTCCATGTGTAACTAAAATTTTTAAGAAAAAAAATTTAACTTAATCACAAAAAAGCTTAAATGCCAAAATAAACATATGAGCACATTTTTTCTTATAAATGATTGGTCAGTGTGTAGTACACAACACCACAGTTTGCAAAATAGACTTCAGGGTTGAAGATGGGCTATGTCACTGACAATTCTCTACATACCCACAAAATGTAGAAATTTGCATAAAAATAGATAAGGGTGAAGAAAGGTGTTCATTAAAAAATGTTTTGAAACAAATATCTTCCATTACTTGCACAAATGTGGCATTTTACACCATAACGCAGACCCTCTGCATTCGAGCCTGTGTAGGTTCTAGCATGATGTGCTTTCTTCAAATGATATTGAAATTCTATTTTTCTACCCACTGAGCATTGCATGCTCCGCTGCTCTGGAAATCACTTAATAATTCCACCCATGAGGATCAATGACACAAAGAAAAATTACCAGGTAAACTTGTTCTGAGTTGTTCAAGTGTTCTCTTTGTCTCTTGTGGAACTAGAGGGTTGGTTGTAGAGCCTTCTGCATGCCAAGGATGCCCTTTAACAGTGAGCCACTTTTTAACTTTTTATTTTGAGACAAAGCCCCGCTAAACTATGCAGGCTGGCCTCGAATTCACTCTGCAGTCCAGGAAAGTCTCAAACTTGCCATCCTTCTGTCTCCAGCAAAATGTCTGACCACATGTTTCAGGAGACTAGGGTTTCTAGGTTTTCTAGGTCCTACAGTGGATGTCATGGTGTTTCAGGCTTACACAATGCCATCTCTTTGCAGCCCCTACCCCCAATCCAGGTAAGCTTTCCTATCCAGCTAACTGGGAGCTACCCTCAGGCTGCCGGGCCCTGAAAGCCCAATGTTCCAGGAACTTTATTCCTCTGAATGTGTCCCTTTGCCAAGGTAGATGGTAGCGACAACCCATCTTGGCTAATCTGCCAGGTACATCTGTGTGGGTCACAGAGCTTCCCTGAAGTTGGCGGCCAGTTACTCTCTACAGGTACTGCTTCAAACAGTACCCTTGCTGCACCCCCTTTTTCCAGCCCCCCACTTTCGCTTGCATGGCCATCTCCAGCTCTGTTTTCAGTGACCTTACAGCTCCTCAGGAGAGAGACAAAGAAGTGTCATAAAGAGCCCATTCTATTTACTCTTGCCACGCTGTTAGTTTGGTGCCGACTGGAAGACAGTAGACGCACACTTTACTCTCTCCATCTTCCACAGTAGAAGCCTGGCCCAATACAGAGCAGCCAGGGGTTTCATGACTTGTATGCATAGTCTTCACAGATGCTGGTGTCCTCTCTGGGACTATACCATACTAAAGGCTGGCAGAAGCTGAGTTACTGTAAACAGACACAAAATACACTATCCTGGGGTGTCTAAGAGTGTCATAAGTCAAGATGATATAAGGCAGAGACACTACTGCCTTCCAATTTTAACTTCATGGTATCACACCTAACCTCTGTTGAGTAAAGGAAAAGATTTAGGAACATAAAATGCCAAAGAGTAGAAATCACATAAAGGAATTGATAAAGGATGTTAACTGAATTCAGGGGTATCAGAGATCATTCCTGAAGGTGTAATTAGTGCTCTGGCCTTCTTACAGGCTCCATCAGTGTTAAGTATGTCTATTGTAATTTTCTTCACTTGACACTGACTCAGTCATCTAAGATGGCACACCTACTCCTTTTCTTCTGCCTCTTAATGTGGAATGGGTACCAAAGGCCCCGATGTGAAGAAATCCCAGACAGAGATGAGAAATGGCCCATTTGAAGAGATGATAAAGGCCACAGTATGGCCCACATAGGGCTTGTTTGAATGATAAAACTTTCTGTTCACTAAGCTTCTCCTAATCTTGGATTAAGCAAAGAGAAACACTCTCAGAAGAGTCACTCAACTTACAGAATAACTGAGCGCATTGTCTACTGAATAAGAGCAACTCTGAATAGACGAAAGCCAGCCTTAGTGTAGAAAAAGAACCAGTTTTATATTTTTTATTTTCTGGATTGATCCACCTGCCTTTGCCTCCCCAGTGCTGGGATTAAGGGTGTGTGACAACATTTCTTGGCATAATCTAACATTTTAATAAAGTAAAATATAAGGAAGGCTTCTTTCTGCTTTTAAGGCCTCTTGCTTTCTTGTTCAGCTACTGTTGGCTTTCAACAAATGTTCTCAATAGGGAAGAACCTACTTTCTGTTTCTTTTCCTGTGACTATATAATTGTATTTTATAAACATGAGACAAATAAATCAATTTTATGGTCAATGATCTGTAAGATTCATGCCTCCAGAAATCAAAATAAAATATGTAACAGTACCTGGTTAAAACCTCAAAAACATTAACATAAATGTTTAGTTCACTCGGTTATAATATTTGAGGGGTATCTGCATAGAGAAGATTTGATAGCCAAGGAGATTTTTATTTTTGTTTTTGTTTTTACTACCAATTCTCCAGCTCAAACAATGCCAGGGCTGACTGTCTTTGGTTTACTAAATCAGTAGTTACACATGACAGGGAGAAACAATTACTGAAAAACTTGCCCAGTGGAAGCCTGTTTTGCAAGACAGAAATACACTGATTTTAACATTTCAATATTCACATTCACATTCAGATTTATATATGGCCAATGTAGTTCACTGAAACAAAACCACCAACTATCAATGAAACAGTCGAAAACTGTTAACAGAAGCAAGCCCAAAACAATTTAGTTGACTTTTATAATTGAATTATCACCTGAAAACAAGTCAACCTGTGCTTTAATCCAGGTATAGTAAAGAATGAAAAGCAACTGACTTTCTCCACCATAGCCCCTTCTAAAGTAAAGATGGAGAAGCATAAGCCCCACACTGGCATAGGTCCAGTGAAGCGAATGCCCCGGTGACCCACACTGGCCTCAGTGCCCAGCTGAAGAGAAGTATGAGCCTTCAGAACTTGCTGTACAGTAAGACTCCCCGATTCTCTAGACTGTGTTCCCCGTGGGAAAGCTGAGTGTCCCTCCAGGAGAGGCTGATAGTGGGTCCCCGTAGAGTAAGCAGAACAGGTTTTCTCCAGTTCAATAAGTACCAATCAGCATTTTAGAAGACTCTAATTGAAAAATTCTGAGTGTTTTCTATTTTCTGTCGCCTTCCACAATTACAGTGCCTTGGTGATTTTAATTTCTGAAACACCCAAATGTGTTGCTAGCATGTCTTAATTCCCAAAACCAAGTTCTGGACATAAGATAGACTCTTTCACCCAATCTATGTTGTATGTATTGTATCATGTGTCTGCAAAGATCTTTCGGTTCTCCAGAAATATGGCTAGAGTGTCTTGCAGGACAAAAAGAATATTAAATGTCCAGGGGACTTTGACTTGTGCAATTTGTTCATAAAGTAATCATTAATCAAAACTTTGAAGAGCTGGTGACAAAAACCCTAGGCCTTCACAATCCTCCCTCAGGCTTCAGGTTTTAACTCTGCCGTTTAATTTATTTATCCACGAGAGAGCTCCTTCATATTCTTTTTCCTTTAACAGTAAAACTCAATAAAATAAAATCATTTCTAGACTTCTCTATGGGTCACAAGTGGACCTATGAAAGAGTTTCACCCCATCCTTCTTGCCCCGTGGATTTTGACATCACTGCTGTTCTGTAAAATGAGTGCTAGTTGATGCTTCAAAACCAGGTCTCTGAGGAAGATTCGTAGTGTCTGTTCGTTTCCATGAGATATGCCAATGGCGCCCAAGGACACGCTACAAACAGCATCCCTGCCGTTGGAAAGAGAAACAGGTCCTGCCTGTTTCAGTCCCTGGACCAGTTCCTAACACTTGCTTACAGACTATGCCACTATGCTTAACTGTTTTCTTTTGAGGGTTGCCTCTTACTCAGGCACGAGGTCTTCATGTTTGTCTTCTCCTTCATATTTACCATCTCTATGAGTCTGTTTTATACTTTTGAAGAATAACTTCCATATTTACTTCAACTAAAATTCTAGTCTTCCTTCTGTGTTCTCAACTTGCCTTTCTGGAACACTCTGTCTTAGATGATGAGCGAAATAGCTTTCAAAAAGAAAAATCTTTGTTTTTTTTTTTTTTTTTTTTTGTTCCTAAATTGTGTCCATAATACCAGGGCTTTTTCATTCATCTGTCCACATGCGATTTAAGTTTTTATGTTTAGACATTTTTTTTCATGTGTCCTGATCCTCCACGGTTTATTCATATTTTAAAAAGAGAATAGGGTTGATTATTGTCTTCTGTCTGCATGTATGTCGTATGTATCTGTTTGTGTGTAGGTGTATGCATCGCTACGGCACTTGTGTGGAGGTTAGTGGTCCTCATAGTCTACCTTATTTGAGACTATGTATCTCCTCTGTGTTTGCAGACTAGCTGAGGATTCTGGGGATTCTCCTGTGTCCACCTTGCATTTTACCAAGGAAGAACTGGGGTCACAGATGCACACATGGCCTCAAATGGGTCCTAGGGATTCAAACTCAGGCCTTGATGCTTACATGGCAAGTCCAGCACAAGCTAAAGCTGATTATTCTTGGGGGCTGGAATGCCAGCTCTACTGTGCAGGAGGGAGACAGGCTTTGGAAACAAGTGTCCCTGTGAGTAGGTCTTAGGGGAGGTCAGCCTACCTGTCTTGCAAGTGCAGTGACAAGGAAGGATTTGCGCTGGACCCTCTACCGTGGAAGTCCTTGGCTGTCCTTTGCTGCTTTAGTCTATCTGGGGGGAAACAAGCCATCTGGATTTCTGCCTGCTGTCACCGCCAGACTTCTGAGAATGCTCTACAGCGAGGGCAGCGATGATGAATGGGGACAAAGTAAGTGCAGGGTGTAGGTCCAATTGGCACAGTGTGTACTCGTTACTCAGCCTATTTCCAGCTTCATCTCTCACTGCTCTCTGCCCTCTTCATGTACACCGTGTGTGCAGCACAGGGACAGGGAGACCCTTGTCATTACATGTCAGCATCTTTCCCTGCTCCTTTTGGGCCACTGTTTCTCCTTTAGCCTTTTCTCCCAGCATTCCACACTGCCTATAGCTAAACCCACTCGTGTTCATCACCATTACAGCTTTGTTTCTTTTATGGCTTCCATTCTCCTATCAATGGTGTCTCAGTAGAAGAGATACAGATGTGAGTGCTCAGCCTGTCACTTAGCTAGCTCTGAACTCTCTGCCACCTCTATACTGTCACATGGCAATCACACAATGATAGCAGGACCTAAGCATGTTACCAGTGTTTCTGCTGACTAGTTTCTACCATTCTTTGAAGTGTGTCATTGCCATGAAGACTTACTTAAGAGCTGATGGTGGCTTGGAAGGGTCAGCTGTGGAATCCAACAGAAAGCGTGTCTGAGTTAACGTCTTCCTGTCTTTCACAGTGATCACAGGATAGCCCATCTGGCTAGTCCAGGTATCCATAACATCTTTCACTGGCTGACCGCTTGCCTGTTGTTGGGGACAATGGAGATCCATTAATTTATACATAAGGGGAAACTAATTATTAGTGATACAGTTGGACAAAGAAATGTTTAAGGGTATTGACTTCCTTACCTCTTGCAGTGACTCCCAAAAGTCTGAAGTTTTTGCATTACCAAACTGGAATTTTTTCAAGTAATTCTGTAAGAGAAGAATGCTTTAGATCCAAAGCTTGGCTTTCCTTACACCTCCACAGTTGGACCTCCCTCAATGGCTCATCCTATGTCCATGGCATGTGATGAGACACAAAACAACATCAAGACGTAGGTCTTTCTTGAGGTAAAACATCATCTCCAGACACTGACATTTCAGTGCTGTGTGATTTTCATATCATTAATCATTCTTTCCATCATTGAGCATGTCTTTAGTGCTTGAACTCTAAAAATGGCAGTGGCCAAATTTGTCGTGCTAAGGAAATGAAGACGTGTGTAGTCTTTTGAATAGTGATAAGGGTGGTTAGGAGTGAGTGGGGGGAAATTATTCACTATGGGGAGCAAGTCTTTACTCTTCAAATACTTTTAAAACATAAATCTTTTTAAATAGAAGGCTTCCCATTTGTCAGTTCTGTCTGTAAGATCGCTCTGCACGGGGAGATATAAGATGTTGCCCTCCCCACCCCAGCCAGAACATCCCAGTCTTTTCCCAATCCCACAATTGGCCATTGCTGGGGAGAAGTCTTCTACAGGTCTGTCCCTATCTGCCCCCCTCTTCCCCGCATCCAGGACTTTCTAGACCTGTGCTATTTAACATGTGGGAAACATATCTAGAAATCAAACTTCGGTTAAGTGTTCCTAGCGTTTAACTTTGTAGAAACATTTAATCTCTAAATTGGTCTAATGTTTCAGGAGGTGCTATTTCTAGGTCTTATTATCTTCTGGATTCTTCTTTATTTAGGGCACTTAGAGATAAACTTAGAATCCCAGAACGAATCCAGCATCGCTGAGGCTGGTTTGAAATACGGACCCCCATGTTAACTCTTTTGGTTAATTCATTTCTCAACACTACCGCCAGAGGGCAGGCGAAGGAAGGCAGAAGAGTGTCTGTTCCTGGTCTTCTTTCCAAACTTAGACAATTTAATAACAACTGTAATTGCAGCTACGCGCTCATGCGACCTTCTACAGAATAGTGCCCTCCGGAAATCATCTTGGAAAAGTTCATTGTACACTGGGTATTTTGTTATTGTCTCTTGTTTGTTTTGAGACAGGATTTCCCTGTGTAGTCGAGGCTGGCCTTGACCTTGTGTATATTCCCTGCTAAGTGGTTTTTTGTTTGTTGTTTGTTTGTTTGTTTTTGGTTTTTGAGGTTTTTTTGTATACTTACAGGATCTTGATTTGAGAAAGAGGCAAGCCATCTGGGAACTGGATAGGACCTTAAATATTATTTAATACAATGCTCCTGGGCTTTAGATGAAAGAAATGGGTCCTGACTGAATGTCTGTGTCCTTGGAGGAAGAGGGATGTCTCAGACTCCTGGACAATGCATTGGATCAACGCATTGAGTTGCTACTTGCTTGTTTTTTCTTCACTTCTGTCTATTGTTTCTCATGAACTTGGGGCTGAATTGAAATTTACATAAGCACTACTACAAGGTAGTTTGTCTAGATCAGTGCCTCCTAATTTTTGATACTAAGAATTTATCTTCTTCCCCTTAAGTGTCCTAGGAAGGAAAAGGCCTTCCCAACTCAGCCAGTCTTCTTTTCCAGGGACAATACTAATTAGATGGTTACGTTTTCATAACAATATATTGTTGCTAATGCCCCATCATCTATTGTACTTTTAAAATGCATAATTACAGCCCAAGAGTCTTCCAGTATTAACGGCAGCATCATTTTGCAGTGTGACATTGTTCTTGGTGGGATGAGCACACAAAAAGGACACAACTAGTCTACTCAGATTCTGCACTGGTCATTTTTCCTAATGGACAATCAATCTGGGCAGAAAGCTGGAACTTGTAAAAGTCCTTGAACTCCAGTTTCCCAGACCTTGGGACTTTGGGGCAGCAGCCACACACAGTGTGACGACAGCAGTGTAAGGTGGATTCTGGTGAGGGGTTCAATGTCCGGGATAATCTGAGAACCTCACTGATATCTGAAAAGATCAGTTCGGGTTTTGGGGCTTGGTATTTCTTCTTCCTATAAATTCACTATAATCTTATGAAATGCATTGCCTGCTATCTGGGTTGAACTTTTAGAATCATCATGAATGAAGACTATTATAACTTGAGAAGTAATAGTCTTTAAATACTTTAAATACTAGTGACAGCACATCAGGAGGGAGCATTTCCTGAATTATTTTTATTTCTGGCCCAACCAGAAGATGGGGCAGTTATAAGGACACATTGTAGTGACTTGAGTAAAGATCAGGACTCCAACCCTGAGATAATTGGCATAGGGTCTTCTAGAAGAATAAAAACACACTGGAACGTTTATTTTTAAGGATGTTTTTGATAGTTCTCTACTAAACTTGAACTGAAGGACTATTTAATTTAAAGTAGCAAGAACGTGTTATTTTAAATTAATTCAATTTAAAATGAAAACTATGCAAATAGAATTGTAAGAGCCTTTGAAAGCAAGTTTTCTTTCTTTCTTTTAAAAAGAACTTTTTGTTATTTATCCAGGGTCTCACTGGATAGCCCTGGCAGGCCTAAAACTCACTATGTAAATCAGGCTGGCCTTGAACTCAGAAATACACCTGCCCTTGCCTCCCAAATTCGGGGATTAAAGGTGGACCCCACCATGCCTGGCTTTTTAAAATTTGTAGTTCAACACTGTATATTATAGATTTTCACTGAACAAACACCTGTTGGATCACCTAATACGTGACGAATTCTACAGGCATGCCTGAAGACGTAGGACGCAGAGCCTCCATGAAGATGGTCACAATAGAGATGTGGTGGCCATTGAGTTAGAAGCTCAAGGGAAGTTGTACGAGCATATAGTTCAACATTTTATTAATCCTTATGTGCATCCTAAATACTTCCTAAATTTCTATTCTTCTCTGGCTTTAGTGGGCACACAGGCATTGTACTACTGCCCCCCAAAGGGACCACTTCCTTTTAGGATATCACAGAGATGCATAAATGCCACCTGCAAAGGCGTAGCAACAGTGAGAGCTCTAGGGGTGATGGTGGCATTGTCCTGGAAATACATGACAAAGAACTGAGAGTCAGTGTGAATTTTTTCTCTCTTGTTCTATGTGGGCTGGAAGCCACTAGAAACAGCTATATCAAGTTTCTGGGCCAGCACAGCTGGAGGCTGGAGGGGGAAGGGAAGCAGCTGGCATGTGATTCCGTTTCTAGGGTGGAATGGGCCCAACCAGAAGATGGGGCAGTTATAAGGACACATTGTAGTGACTTGAGTAAAGGTCAGGACTCCAACCCTGAGATAATTGGCATAGGGTCTTCTAGAAGAACAAAAACGCACTGGAACGTCCAGTGTAGTGACATACTAACACAGGACTGTACAGAACATTGGGAAATGGATTATCTTCCAGAAGAGAGAAAGATCTCCTTATTTGCTGAATTTGTGAGAATATGATTATTCATATTAATAATTTTCCGAATCAATAATTAGGAAAAGACTTTACCCATGGATTATGGGAAGACTAATAAAGATAGATTTAAATGTCCATGTCATGCTTCTGTGAAGTGAATTATGTTCCCCCAAATTCACACTTGATGGCCTCAGAATATCTGGAGGGCTTTCTGGTTGGTATGAGGTAATTAGGGCGTGATCTCATGGTGAGATTTGTGCTCCCACCAATCTCATACAGGAATGCATGTGAGGACACAGGGGGCTGTCTACAGAACAAAAAGACCCTCACCAGCAACTGAAATGGCAGCACTGTGTCCCGGAACCTTATCACCTCCAATGTTGTGGGAAAATACATTCCTGTCGTTTAAACCACCAGGTATATGCTGTCTTTTCATGACAGACCCATATGAATAACACGCGTGTAAAGAGTACCTAGTGTCACCAAGTAGCCCACTTGAATTTCTCCTGGCATTTCTGGTAAGTGATCACGTTATCTCGTACTTATCTGTCCACATACAGGGAAAGTAAGAAAGCAATTATCCATAACTAAACACATTCGTCAGCTGCATATCAGGATCGTTTACTTTTGCTAGCACTAACTAAGAAATCGTACCTGACACCCTTTTTGAAATTTATCTGGTGTGATCCAGTCCTCAAGCATTCTCAGAATAGAAGCTCCCTAGGATGAGAAAAAGAAGCCAATTAAATTAATGGGACTGTGCAAGAATTGGCGATCCGTTGCATCATCACAACGTTTTATGAATGTGTTACATAGGTATAGTACTACGATTTAGGGAAAACAAACAAACTAACGAACAAAGCCCCCAACACGTGGCACCCTTCTGAGTGTGGTAAAGAGAAATTGCTCAAATTGCCTTTCAGTTGACTGAAGGTCCAAATGGTTATTGCATTTCCCCGTGTTAGCCAGCAGGTGGCGCTTTGTTAATGAAAGAAAAAAATTGGTCCCCACAGCACATTCTTATCTGAAGCACTAATTTCAAGGTAAAATTATGACAAATTATTAAGTATACCTCCACATAGGAGACAATAATATACTTAACAAAAGGAATTAGAGAGTGAAAATAGCTTATTAAATAGTGTAGTGTGGATAGGTATAAAATGTAGGCACAAAACCGTTCTCATCAAAAGTAGTTAGTTTCGTTTGGTTTTATAGATCTCAAGAATTTGAGGAATGTATTTTGAGCTTCTCCCATGTGGTTTCATAGTAAGGCACACCACTTCTAAGATTTTTAAAGAAGTTTTCAACTAATGTACATTAAAAATGCTACCTTCCCACTTAGTACTATTACTATAATTTCCCACGTATTTTAAATTGCATTTGGACACCGCAAGAATAAGGCTTAGAAACATATTTATTTCTGACAATATTTTAAGCCTCTGGAGGACCCAGGGCTTAGAGATTTGAGTCTTCGTCTTCCTTTGTGAGTTACAGTGACAGATAATCAATCATTTCAAAGAAGCCTGGAAAGATTCCATGGGAATAAGAGAGGAAGGCTGAAAATTATGGTATTAGCAAATAATAACTGTTTTTCACTTAAACTGGTTTTGATAAACATTCATTTTAATAATTATAAATAAACACAACTATGTCAGGGTTCATCCCTTTTGAGTAAGGGAGTAGAATGGCCACTCCATGGGAAACTGAGGTAGGAAGTTACTAAAATGAAGATCTAAGTTATATTACTACAACTGGGGAACGTGTGTGGAGGAGATATTGTAGGAGGTATTGTGAAAGAGAATGTCATGGGAAAACTTGGGTGGCAACGGTCTCGGCTGTATCTCCTCATGTTTTAGTGGCTAAAAAAAAATGCCTTGTCTACTATACATACACATAATTATCATTAACTCACAATGCACACACACACACACACACACACACACACACACACACACACACGATAAAGGTTTTTCTCCTACTAAGCTGCATTTGAATATTTGCTCTGGACATTAAAGTACTCTCTTACTAAAAGTGCCCATGTAGATGGATTTCCTCACGGACCACACAGCAGGAAAGTAAGACAAGTAAGAGCCGGTGGGGTGGGATGCTTTAGTGGGATAAAGGTGCTTGCTGCCAAGCCTGACAACCAGAGTTCAGTTCTCTTTATCTACACGATGAAAGTGGAAAGGCTGCCCTGGTCCCCCCACAACCATATGTGTTCCCCCAGAATAAATTTTAATAATTGAAGAAAAAATTAAATTGAATGTTTAAGGTATAATTGCTTAATTATCAGAACGAAAGTGGTGTTTGACAAAAGGGGGTGAGTGGGTGGAAATTAGTGCCTAAATCCTGTGGCATCGATTCCTTCGCCTGCAAAATACCAACTGTTTAAGATTCAGCCCCGGCTGTGTTCTGCACTCTTCCCAGAGCTCACAGCAGAATCTAGCCATGTCTTAAAAGCAATCTGTCAGACAATTTGTACTAAAAGTCAGTCAATAGAAAGACATCTAGACACCGTGCACCTCCTACCTTGCTGTATGATATTCCATCAAACACCGACGTTATTTCAGCCGGCGTTGACACAGTGACCACCACCGGGTGTGAAGACACCAAGGAGTCTTCTTCTTGCACAGGTAACACATCTTCAAGCAGCACCTGACTGCGCTGGAATGACAGAAAGCAAAGGAGGGTAGCACTTCCTTCCGACCACTTTCTATTTTGTACCATCATGTGCCATCAAAATTGTGGGGAAAGAAACGGAAATGACTCCGGTCATTCAATGTGGCCTCTCTTCAAATGAACTCCATTACAGCAACTGTTGCACACTGGTTTTGGGTCTAGCTGCAACTCTCTTGACTTCTATAGGACAGATCCAGCAGTATCTCTGTATTCTGTCACCACGCTTCTCTTCAAACTGGACCAAACTTTTCAAGTTTCCCCGTCGTAATGGGAATGATGTCACCTCACAGGGTTGCCATGAAAATTCAAGGAGGTAGAGAGTCAATTGGCCAAACTAGTTGCTTTCTGTTACTTGTCATTGAAATTTGGATAACTCCTAATTAATCAAAGAAAACACTAACTCGTTTTTTACTCCCAGTGGTCAATTATAATCCAGTCTTGGATTTCCTCAGCCATGTAAAGTGGCTATGATCTTGAAGTATGATCAGCCTTCTGGGTTGAGAGAACATCCTCTCCTTTCTCTTGATTTATGGCTTTAACAAGTTCCTGGAGTCACAAGCAGTGACAGCACCCATCTTTAGACTTGTGCATAGGATTCCAACTCCAGTTTAAGTGCTGTACTTGACATAGTACCCGGAACTCAGGGAAACCCAACAGACTGGCCGTCTCTGTCATTTTGATTAACATGGAGCAAGAGCCTGAAAACTAAACTAGTACTATTTTTTAAGCAATCAAAAAATTGTATTTCTCCTACCAACTTAAAATATTCCTGAAAGGGGAGCTTGCTATATTTCCCAGGGTCACAGCTGCCATTCATAATGGATAAGGTACTTTGGTTGAGTGATGGCTGCAATTAAGATAGTTTGATACAGTTTGCTTGCTTGCTTGGTTTGGTTTGGTCTGCCTATCTAAGAGGTTTGGGTGAGAAAAAACAACTATGTTCTTGGCTTCAGAGAATGTGAGTGTAGTCCGGCCTTCATGTCATTGGAAGGTGTTATTATCCCCTTCAACCTCGAAGTTCTCGCTGATGAAGTTACAGTGGTGGCCATATCACGGGACTTTCTTTCTAACTTGTTTATCTGTCCCTTCCCATACAAGACCTTAAACTGGAAACTTCATGAGGACTAAAAACATGTTTTTAACAAAGGATTTGATCTTCTGCTCTTAGTTAAATGCAAAATGAATAGATGGGAAGAAGGAAGGTGCAAATTTCAGCTGTATTATGAGATTACGACACACTGAGATCTGAAGAAGCGAATAATAAAATCTCCTGGAATACACTAGAATAATTTTTCTCTTCCCTGGTTCTGAGGATTGAACCTAGGGCCTTACACATGCTGACTAAGATCTCCTTGAGGTCTTGACTCTGCTGCCTTAATCTCCCTAGTGCTGAGATCACTTGCTGAGCTTAACCAGAGTTTTTCAAAACACTAAAACTGGAATATTAACTAACACTCAAATGTTATAATTTCATATAAGAGTTTGATATAGAAAGCACACCAAGGTATACTAGTAGGAATAAAAAGGACAAAATAATTTGCTATCTGTACAATTTATTGAAAAATAAATTGTAAAGTCTCCAGTTTTTACTGTAGATGATAATGGACAAGCAGAGATTTTTATTTATTTATTTTTACCTCCATTCCCAGCCTTTGTCACGACTGGGAAATTAGCTACATGTCCAACAGTGTATAGACAGCCCAAGAAACAAAGCATTGCCCCAGATGTTAAACATTCCAGGGTGAAAAAAAAACCCAGTGCAGATTAAATGTTAAAAGAGGCAACTTTGCAGAATAGTTTCCCTACCTTTCAGAGCAGGTTAGGGAGAGTGCAAGCATTTACTTTAAAAGATAGGTTCCCCAGAGCCATGGTGGTGTATGCTTTTAATCCCAGCAGAAGCAGGCAGGATTTCTAAATTCAAGGCCAGCCTGGTCTACAGGGCTTGTTACAAGACTGTTAAGGTAACATCCAGAGACCATGTCTCTCACAGAAAGAGAAGGGGGAGGGCCAAGAAAATTTCCAGACCAGAAGTGCCTAAAGTACATTTCCTAACCTTCTTTGAAAATTAGAAACGCTGATTTGTGACAACTGGTTTTTTTTTGTTGTTGTTGTTGTTGTTGTTTTGTTTAAGTAATCTTCACCAGCAGCTGTGACCACATGCATGAGATCAAGCCAATCAAAATCCCAGCATGGATGGTGAGGGGGTTATGCTGCCCAACCCCAGATGAGAAGCTATTGGCAATTGATGGCTTCTAGTAGAGGAAGAGTCAGTTTTCTTCAGGAATGTGGTCTCAAAAAGCTACCTAAGCTCCAGTAAGTAGCTCGTTCTACAGCCACGTGTTGCTTTGTTTAAATTAGTTTACTTTCATTTTGTTTTGCTTTGTTTTTTTAAAAGGACATAAAATCGTGAAGGGGAAGTGGGGGCTGAGGATAGAGGAGGAGATGCAGGAGAGAGAGCAGGGGTAGAAAAAAATACTTTTTAAAAATGAAAAAGAAAAACAGCCAAGATTTTCGAGCTCCAAGGAAGTTAAACATCTACTGGATGGTGTTTTCCTTCATTTTAAAATTTGCCTCTAGTGGACTTTCCACGATACTTAAGAGACATTAAAGTTTAAGGGTCAATTAAAAATACTCTCAAAAGTAAGAAAAAGATAAAAATAACTCAAAGTTAAGCAGTCTTGTTCATTCTTTATCAAATTCACATGGAAGGCTGAACACTTTTGAATACACTTTACTGTTCACCTTTACAACAACCCAATGAGATAGTTCTTACACCATGTCTACCTCTTTAAAAAGGATACAGACAAGGTAAATAAAAGTTACTAAATGTCAAAAAGAGTTGCTCCAGTAGAGGGCAGTATTCTACATCCTTCACAACTATCAACCTGTAGGCAGAGCTAGGTATACACATCTACAATGTGTGCATACAGCATACATGCATATACACAGTTACAGAAAAATACATGATCTAAAGACAAGAAAAACTAACTTTCCTTAAAAATTTTTGCAACATTTCTGGAAATTTTTTATTCTATGTTCCTCTAGGGACATGTGTGAATACTGTGTGAACGTTCACTCTGCACACAGTTTGGGAACGTGGAAGCTTACTTGATACCAAGCAAAGCTCTCATTGCATGTTCATGGCCACGTGTCCTGTTGCACATCTAAGAGATGATGTGTTTAGGATTTGATCTTGTATCTCATTAAGTACATCCTTCATCTCTTTACCACATTCCAGCAACACGCTAAGGTCAAGTAGCTAATAAGACTGCTTCAGAGGGTAACTATACTTCCCTGAATGCAAGTTGGGAATATGTGTACAATAGTCTGCCTACATGTATCCCTGTAGACCAGAAGAGGGCACCAGACTTCATTACAGATGGTTGTGAGCCACCATGTGGCTGCTGGTCATTGAACTCAGGAGCTCTGTAAGAATAGGCAATGCTCCTAACCCTTGAGCTATCTTTCCAACCCCCAAGGTGGGCATTTTCTACATTTCTTTCCCCCACATCCCTCCCTTCCCAACAGATGTCTGTCTATGACTCCTAATTGCCTTGATGACCGGGTAAAGGTTCCTGGCAAAGAATAGCTCAGAGAAATTACGGGCTCCACTCTAGCTCTCAATGGGTGTCCATGACGACCATCATACTCCATTCTAACCCTGCACCATTGTTAAATGCTCAGTTTCCACTAAAAAAGTAGATTCCTAGTCTATGTGTTTATAACTCACCATTTGCCACTCTGTTTCTGCCTGGTTTACTCCCAAGAACTCAAAGAAAGAAGCAAATCCTTCATTTAGCCACAAGTCGTCCCACCAGTCCATGGTCACAATATTTCCAAACCACTGAAATGATAAGCAGGGAGGAAGTGGTTAGATATTTATTCTTGTGGTGGAGACATGTGTAAGAAGCGACACAGCATGGATTTGTAGCCGGCATAGAAGTGGCCAATGTTGAATCTAACATATATTTCACACTTTATCTTGATTTGAGAGTGTTAAATTCTTCAGTTTATTCCCAGTGTTATAAGAAGGCCTCTTGTTTATTAAAGGCAAAACAGTCTAAAGCAGAGGTTCTCAACCTTCCTAATGCTGTGACCTTTTAATATAGTTCTTCATGTTGTGGTGACCCTCAATCATAAAATTATTTTCATTGCTATTTCATAACTGTAATTTTGCTACTGTCATAAATTCATGTGTGTGTGTGTGTGTGTATGTGTGTGTGTGTGTGTGTGTGTTCTGATGGTCTTAGGTAACCCACCCCTCACCTCCAAGGGTTGAGACCCACAGGGTGAGAAACACTGGAAAGTTTCTGTATAGATAAATGCTAGTTAACACTAAGATTGGTTTCCACGCAGCATTTTCTGAGTAGTCTCTTTTCACTTCTTTATGTATCCATTTTTTTGTATTATTGCTATTGAAACAGGCCAGTTTTAAAAAGCAAGTAGATTTGCTTCAGGACCCTCTACCTGGTGTACAAGTTCATGGGCAATGACACTGGCCACTCTTTGTCTGTTGGACGAGGCTGATTCCTTGGGGTCAAAAAGCAGGTTTGTTTCTCGGTAAGTGATGAGTCCCCAGTTTTCCATGGCACCGGTGCCAAAATCTGGAATAGCGATTTTATCTATGGAAAAAGACACTCCAATGAGAAATAAATTCTTTCCATTTGTTCATAGCATTTCTTACCAAATTAAGTTCTTTGGATGACTTTTTTTTTTAAGGCTAAAAATAATTCTCAGAGTGAGAAACAGGAATCATTTGTGCAAACATTTTGGTCCTAATGCACTCAACATTCCCACGGAGCAGTTCCTGTAGGCTCCACTGTTCAATGTGTCCTTCCCGTCCTCGCTTTTCTGCTTAATGACTGCTTTTTTTCCCCCAAAGCCTGTATAATTTTATGTCTTTTCTTCTCTGCACAGTACTTCATTTTTATTCCCCATCCTTCATTTTTCAGGTTGGTTATAAACAGCATCTGCTTGGGAGGGACACTGTTAGGCAAAAGATAATGGAGGCTTTAAATGAGGGTTAAGGAGGACAGAGCTTGTGAGTTCATAGAAACAACTCATACATCAAGGTCATAGACTTAGAAACCCCACTGTCCCCAAGGCTGTACAATTTGGGGACAGTGATTATCTACCCTTCTAGTGCCCCTTCCCCTTGCCACCCCCTTTTACATATTAAATAAGTTAGGGGGGACATGGGATTGACTGATTTCTCTGTAAAATTTCCTCCAGGTCTAAAATGTTGTTTGCCACAGGAATTTCTGTTTTTGTTTTCTCTGGATTTTAGACATAATATCCAACAAGAGAATGCAATGTTGGGCACTTCTACATTAAATCTGCAAGTAGAAAAATGGTGATTAGTGGGAAATCCAGCTTCCCCAGCTAATGGACTGTAACCCAAATGTAATTTTTTATTACCACTGTAATTTGAATGAGGTACAAAAATGCAAACAGGTCAAATTTCTTTCTAATATGTAAGAAAGGGACCTTTCTGGTTAAAATAAAATGTATTAACGATTTTTATAAAAGAATAAAAAGTATATATCTTCAGTAGAAATCAAGTTAAGAGTAGCAGGTTTTTGTCATGTTGCACGCTAGGTTTGGTCACTATAGCATAAGAATATCCCTAAAGACTGAGAAAGTACCCCCCCCCACTCAACATTTTTCACAGTGTTGGAAAGTATGATTTGCACAAGCCTTTGAGCAAATGAAAGTAATCCCTCCTCTAATGAATACAGACATTATAATTAAGTAACATCAATTCAATTACCTTTTGATAGAAATGAGGACACCATTTCCAAAGACTATTATACAGCTAATTCGGAAAGTGTGGAAGATGCACAGAAAAACGTAGGGTGAGGGAAGAGAAGAGGAGGAGAAAGGAAGACATTGGTGTGCCTTCTACATCTCAGGTCATCCTGGTCACTACAAGTAAGGCAATTTGGTGAGATCTGTGTGGGTTTGGGTTCTCCATCCTCTCACAGCTTCTCTTGTAACTCTGGTAAAAAAGATGTTTGTCTTTCTGTCTCCTCCAATAACTGCTAAGCAATACAAAGGTTCATTGAAGAGAAAATGAGGCGTGTACACACTCAGAGTCAAAGACTGTGTCTTCATCATATGGGAGGAAAGAACACCTATTATTTTTGGAGGAACCTAGAATGGATCTTTGAGCTTATGGTAAACATCAGACATGTCATTTAGGTACATACTAAAAAGACCCAGGGATGATCAGTAATTAATGGCAATATAATTAGTCACAGTAGGCTAACTTAGGTAAAACAAACAAACAAAAGCAAAGGGAACTTGAAATAATGAAATAAAAGTATTGTCTCACCCAGTTTAGGAAGAGAATACTCCATACCAAAGTAGTTTTCAAAATAATCAAAAACAGCTTTAGTTATATTTGCAGCATACTCCGCTGTGTGTTTTTGCTGTGGCTGGACATAAATAGTGAGCTGGCAAACAAAACACAAACATTCAGGGAGATGAGTCTTCATTTGGTGAAACACATACACATGAAGTGAAACATGTTATCATTGAAAGGAAGAGGCCTCTGGAGTCAGAGCATGTTGTTTGCAACCCAAGACTGCTTCGTAGTACCTCGTCCCCAACAGCCTTCAGTAGTATTGGATCAAGCTAGTCACTGCTCCAAGACCTGTGTAAGAGGTCATTAAGATATAAATAACTGTGTGACATTAGCAATTAGAAATAGCATAAGGAAGAGCACCTGGGGCATTAAAAGACATTACTACTTTTCTTTGTACTTAAGATTTGTATTGTCTGAAGCTGTAGAGATGGCTCAGCAGTTAAGAACATTGACTGCTCTTCCAGAGGACCTGGGTTCAGTTCCCAGCACCCACATAGCAGCTTAGAACCATCTGTAACTCCAGTTTCAGAGAATCTGGCACCCTCACACAGACACACCTGCAGTCAAAACACCAATGCATATAAAATGAAAATAAATAAATCGCTAAAAAAGTAAAAAACAAAACAACTTGCATTGTCTTTTTGGTATCTACGGATCTATGTGTCTGTTTACCTTTCCCTGTACCCACTGGTTTGCCTTGTGCATGGAGTTCCTTGAGAGGAAACAAATTCATTCCTTTTTTCTCACCTACAGTGCTTTTGATTAAACGTTTTCCCTTTGTGGTATTCCACCCTGCTTTCCTAAATGGCCCTTGACATGTTTCTGTTTTACTCCCAGAGCCTAAAATATGATGACTCAAACTTTTGCCAAGAAGGAATGAGTAGGCTAAGTCAATTCTCTGAGTTTCCGGGGTATTATTTTATGTCTGTGTGACCCAATTTACAAATTAAACCAAGTGCCTAGTGCAGATTTTTTTCCAGCTCTAATCATACATGACTTTATTAAAAAAAAATATTAAGAATTCTTCTAAGCAGACGAGTAGATGTCCCTGGATGCTAGGGTCTGTGCTCAGGGAACCTTCTGGCTATTTAGAAATTTTTAGTGTGTGAAGGAGAGAACAGTGCTTCAGATGACAGTCTGCAAATTTACAAGAAAGTCAAATGAAATATGCACACTGGCCCTGAGACCTGATCTGAAACCCTCTAGCAAAGAACGATGCCGGCGGCATTTTAGTAAGTTCAAGACCATTGACCCAACTAGACCAGATGATTCAAGATTAGAAAAACCGTGTGCACTTACACACATGCACACACACATGAGAGAGAGAGAGAGAGAGAGAGAGAGAGAGAGAGAGAGAGAGAGGGAGAGGGAGAGGGAGAGGGAGAGGGAGAGGGAGAGGGAGAGGGAGAGGGAGGGAGGGACCCTGCTCCTTTCCTGTTCCCACTGCATTGCTGTAGGTGATGTCCATTCAGGCACATGCCTCCAACCCTGTTTCTTAGAAGAGAACTCTGACAATACAAAGGACAAATTCCAAAAGAATGTCCCTTAAATGACCAGATGATCCATTTTCACAACCCTCCTCTATCATCCTGGTAAGCAATGCCTTCTCTAAGCAACAACTAACTGAACCTAAGGATCCAGCTGGTAGGTAGGCACTGAACAGAGCAGCAGGAACCAGCCATGGAAAACCAAAGCCAGCATGGTTGCATGGCATTGCCATATTATCAGCGGAAAAGCTCTCAACCTTTCACCTGTCAACACGTCAACAACTTGGTGTGACATGACTCACTCAGATTTTCTGACACACTCATTCTCCATGAGACACTTCATGTCTTTGCATTGCTGTCTACGTGCGCCATGCTGTGTACCGTCTGTTTGGAGAGGGAAGGCGAGTTGAAAAATGTCGGAAGACAGTGAACCCTCTGTGGTAGGTGAAGCCGTGGGAGCAGAAAGGCTGGGCTCTCTCTGCTGGTGCTTCCCTATTACCCACAGAAGGTGAGCTCTTTTTACTGACTTCGGGATTTAAGAACTCAACTACACTACCACTGAGCTGTGTCCTCAACTCACAGAGACTTCTTTCAAGGGGGCCGCTGAAGCAGTATTGGTTACTTTTTCTCTTTCTCCTCATTTCTCTTGGTGAGAGCAACAGAAAAGACTGTCCATGGTTATTCACTTGAGATCAGAGCAGTTCCTTTCTCACTCCCTCGCCCATCTGCACACAGAAGTGTGCACAGTCTGCATCCAGCCACATGAACATTTCCTGTCACCTAGGGCCCTTTCAGACAACTGCCACAGGTCATATTTTCTGAAACACAGATTTGGTCAATGAGCTGAGGAATCACAGAACAGCATGCTTGCCGTTCACCACAAACCTTGCACTGGTTTCACAATTCCTATCTATAATCATAAGAACTGAAGAATTCGGAAGGTTTTGCAATTAGCCAAAGCCTATCCAGGAGTGTGATCTCTCTGCCACATGTTAGGAACATATTTCAACATGGAAGACTCCGTGAACATGCCAGCGCAGTCTGGACATATCAAAGTTCTAAGGCTCCTCGCCAGAATCAGTATCATAGACAACACGTTCAGTTATTAACCTTGGTGACTCTCTTAGTCTGCACTTCCTTCTGTGTGACTGACAGCACAAAGTGGTACCCACATTGCTTTTAAGAGCAGTGGAGAATGAGGGGGTGGTGGGAAGGAAATGAACTTTATGCTTTTGAGATACAAAATAATAGGTTGTACGGTGAACACAAAAGACAAGCCATTTGATTTGCAAGAGCTTGGTTTACAAAGGCTTTCAAAAATTATTTCAGAAAGCCAGGAACTAAACAGAGCACTGTGATGATGGATGGGACAGAGACTGGAAAGGCATCAGAAAGCACTGTCTCAAAAGACAAGAGGAAATTTATCTGTGTCGGAAGGATCAAGAGGACTGATGGCACTAGACCATGAATTGTGCAGAGGTCTGATATTAGGACACTGAACCTGGGAAGACTCTACAAACAGAAAGGACCAGCTTTCAGATTGCCAGATACCATTGTCTCCATCACCTACGTCAAAGCCAGGGAAGGACCTGGGTTCCACCTGGGGATGCGTCAGGCCAGCTCTGCCTGGGTTCCCATATTTATTGCCTGTTGACTATTTTCCTCTTGAAAATCTGACCATACATCCTAGTTTTCCCAGGAATGTTAATCTGTAACTGACCTCTTGACCCTGCATAATCCATATCACTACCTATGTTGATATATATATATATATATATATATATATATATATATATCAACATGCTATGGTACTCTCACTACTGACAGGTAATAACCTTAATAACCTTATTTCCAGGTGTCATTAACTTCTTGAAGGTTTTCAAGGTCTCACACAGGAAGTGGCCCAGAACCGTGCAGGACGCTAAAACTGAGGGAGATAGCCATGGCTCTTACAAGGATATCATCGGAACATATAGGAAAGCATACTAGGGTGTCACTGGGCAATGGTGGCTGCCACTGACTCCCATCTCAGCCCAGAGATAGTTTTTATTATTCCCCCCTTCTTGGGGGCTTAGCACCCTCCTGAGAACATGGGTGTTCCTTAAGGACGTGAGACAACCTGATTGAAGAGCCTTCTGTTTGACTATCACTACCAAGATAGTCTGAATGAGAAAGAGATGTCTACATGGCCTTCACTCCACACACCTATGTGTGTTACGTGAAATTGTTGAAGATGACACTGCTACAGTGTATATCTAGTTGAGTGAACGTTGCCTTCAACCAGTGTTCAGTCTCCAATTTTCACCTTCGCTACGGAAGCCAAGGTCACTCCCCAACAAGGGAGTTACTCTTTTTTACACAAAAAACATCTTTACAAAAAGGCATCAGCCAACTGCCCCCAAAGAAATTTAACTTGGCCTGGATTTGATTCCTTGGAACTGGGTGTAAAACTATGTTCTGGAGAAATTAATGTAGGTCTAATATATCTGAGAAAACACCACAAACCTACCAACAGAAAATGTTTTACATGTGGCAATTCAGAGATTTTGATTTTTTTCACTTCCTGTTTTCTTCTAAACTTACTATTAAATGGGTGCTTAAAGAAAAAAAATATTTTTAAATCCAAAATTCTGGATTTCAGAATGAATTGCAATATATCCCAGTGAAACCCTGAAGCAGAAATATTGCTTATAGCATTATTAATAATACAGTTAGTACATTTAATTATGATGTAACTCCTAAGAGGATGATGATGGGATGGTAGTTTTTACATCCATAGCTGCACAGTTACTTCACATAGCTAAAAATGTCACGTACTCACAACACTGTTCAGGGACAGTTGACTGGTTGGTTGGTTTTCCTAAGGTGAAATTTAGTGACATCATTTGCTGTAAACCCTTAACCAAATCAACTAAATGCCAAAAAGCCTCAGAGGAGATTGCTTGCCAAGAGTTAGAAAGGAAGAAAGGAAGAAAGGAGGGAGGGAGGAAGGGGGGAGAAGAGGAGGGAGAGGGGAGGAGGGAGGGAGAGGGAGAGAGGGAGAAAGAGAGGAAGGGAGAGAGAAGGGGAGGGAGGGAGGAGGGGAGGGAGGGGAAAAGGGAGGGAGGGAGGGAGAAGGGAAAGGAGGGAGAAGAGGAGGGAGGGAGGGAGATGGGTGGGAGGAAAGGAGGGAGGGAGGACATCTTTCTATTGGTGCCTGGTCTTAATAGTTGCAAAAGTACTATAAGTAATTCTCCAAATTTCTTCCTTTTTTCCAGAATTGAATAAAAACACAACTACGTTTGCAAAAAAAAAAAAAAAAAAAAAAGGAAGAAAGAAAGAGAATTAAAAGTTTTCTGAGCTGTCTTAAAATTCCATATAATTTTTCTCATGCTCAAGGAAAAATATTTACAACAGATGGTTCCTCTACTCATACCTGCTATGTCCTTTCTTCTAGTTGCAGTAAACAATAGATCTCAAGTTGCTGATAACGGGTGGGAAGGAACTCCTGTCAGGGGGTAGAATATCTACACCTCACCAAGTTTAATGAGAGTATCACAGACACTTGTATCCTATAGTAGAGATTGATTGAATGGTTGACAGGGGATTAATGCGCCAGAGC